CTGCTGCTGCCGTCGTTGACTCTGCTGCTGCCGATGTTGTCTCTGCTGCTGCCGATGTTGTCTCTGCTGCTGCCGATGTTGTCTCTGCTGCATGTTGAATTGTCGCTAACGCTCTTGTCCTTTCTGTCTCAGGGATGGTGTGTGAGTACCAGAAACCGCCAGGACTGAAGTCTGGATCAAGGTCTGGAGGGTGTGTCCAGTCGGTGAAGTTAACGATGGCGTCGCTGTCGGCGGTGCCAAGATCAGGAACGAAGTCAAGAACGAAGACGTTGTTCTTGAGGATCGCCTTGCCGATGTAAAGTCCTCCTCTCCCGTGATACAACTTGAATTCTTGGGTGGTGCTGTCTGCTTCGAGGTGAATCCCCTTCGCCATTAGCTGACTGACGCTTAGTAAGTTGTAGCCGGGGCCTTCTGTAATTAGGACCTTGGACATCTGTAGGACGACATTTGTTTCTCGTGACTGTAGTTGAACAACTCCTTGTTGTCGTGTGCGCATGTTCTGATTGTTGGCGACGGTGATGACTACTTCGCGTTGAAGTTGGTATTCTCGTTGAACGAAGCGTCCTGAAGAACACATGTGCTGTCCGCAGCAACTATCCAAGAACCACGTGTCCTTCCCGGATGGTTCGCTCTGGGCGATAGCTGCGTATGTCGGATTCGGCTCCAGTGTCTCACGGCGTGGAGTTCTTTCATCAAGTTGTTCTTCTGGTGAGTAGTATGGTGGTGATCCCGTGATGCAAGAGTCGCTCAGCCTTGCCATGCAGCTGACGATGTTTCTTGCTCCTTGTGCAGGTTGTCCCGTTGAAGTCGTTGAGGCTTGAATCTGGGTCGAAGGATTTGCTTGTGTCGAAACGACTTGATTGCTTGAAGGTCGAAGCTGTCGCTGTGGCGTTGTTGATTGTTGTCGATTCAGGCAGTGCGTGCGCGGATGTCCTGAAGTTTTGCAGATGTGGCAAAACGGAGGTACGGGCTTCGGTTGTTGCTGCCGGTTGTTGTTGTTGTTGTAACGTCGCTGAGTGTGGAACGCGAATTCCGGTGCTGATCTCTTCCTTTTATGTCGTTCTTCTTGCAGGTTCGAAGACATGTCTTGCTGTTCGGCGTGGATTTCGGCGCAGAGCGCTGCTTCGGAGATTCTTCCGTGGGCTCGAAGTATGGCCTTTGTGGCGCGCCATTGAGGACCGAGGCCGCCGATGATAACTGTCACGAAGGCGTCTTCAGAAATCGATCCTCCGCATCGAAGAAGCTTGTCGCGCAACTCGCGACATCGGCTGATATACGCCAATCATTTCTCGCCTGGTTTCATTTCGACCGTTGTCAGTTGCGCCATTAACCGACTTTGGTTTACGCTGTCTGTTGCTTGATACAGGCTCTTCAAGTGGTTATATGCGAGCTCCGCGGAGTTACCGTAACCCCGGTAAGATCGTATGTTCTGCTGTTGAGTCGGGGTGATGTTCCTCAGTAGAATCGTGTATGCCATCATTGACTGATAGGTGTACTGCTGCTTCTCGTACTGTGTGCCGTTTGTTGGGTATGGCAGGGACCCGTCGAAGAAGCCAAGTATCTGCGCGCCTTCCATCATCGGCTCGAATTCAAACGACCAGGTAAAAAAGTCCTTTCCATCGAAGGGTCTTGACGTCTGCATCTTCAGAACGTGTGCGAACTGCGACTGAACTTGTAATGCGTCCAGTGACTTTTCTTGTCCAGGTGAGGGCTGCGGGTGAGGCATGAAGCTGATGGACCCGCGCTCGTACGGAGCAAAGGTAGGCTGCTGCTGTTGATTTCCTCGTGCATATGATGAGCCGTCTAGACCCATGGGTGTTGCTCCGTTGTTGTTGCTGTTGTGTGACTGCGCAGGTGCCGATTGCTGGTGTTGCTCGTAGAAGGACACGAAGGAGAAGAACTTCTCCATCATGCTCTGGTCGAAGTCTGCGGGCTGATTCGCGGGAGTCTCGGTAGATGTTGCTCTAGGTCTTGTTGCCGTGCCCTCCTCTGTCTGTAGGCCAGAGGCAGGAGGTGGAGTAGGAGTAGTGCCCTGGAGCCGTTGGAGTTGCTCCTTTCCTTTTGTGTAGCCATGCTTGTTGATGTTGTCGGTATAGGAGTTGAATTCCCCCTGATAGCTCTCATACCATGTTGGGCTGAGAAATAGCCCTTTAGGATCTTTACAGGGGTGAACTCTGGGTAGAGTTGGTGTAATAGCGGAAGCGTTAATTAAAGAGTTGTGAACCACCTTGCGCTAGTATGTGAGGGCAAAGTAAGTTGATTAAAACAAGGAGATACATGATTATATATGAGTACAAGGAATACGAAGAGATGCAGTTATAACTACTTTACTGTTGCTGTTGCGGTTCGATACCATGACGACTCGGGCAACTGCTCTGTAGCGAGTCAGTTGTGTGTCCTTGCTGTCGCGCTGTACTTGTCAGGTCAAAGGTCGCTGACCTTTGACTTTCGCGTAACCTCCAGCAACTTCTCAACCTCCGAGGGTTGACTCGCAAGTGCCTCGATATGATTTACTTCGCTTCTGATGCGGTGTTTCGACACGACAGAGGCGCTTACGGTTTGTTGTTTCCAACAATCGCAACCATCACCGAGCCATCCCATCCCGAACCCCCCGCCTAGCTAGGTTTTCCCCTATTTAGGCCTCGCTACTTCATTGTTTCGTCATTCAGTGATTCAGTAATTCTGTCATTTCCATTCTCGTTATTCGATATTCTGCGCACTCTGCAAGTTCATTCATAACAACTTTCATCTGAGCTGTACCCTCTTGTAACTAAAAAAAAATCTGGCCGTTTTAATAATCGTGACGCGTAGTTACTTCTATAGCCATGGCTCCTAAGGCTATAGCTATTCTGACAAGACGGGTCCATGTGGATTCTGCCTCGTTCGTACACAGATTATCTGTGCGAATATGCCAGAGTCTACTATCCGTGCGAATCGACTAAACCCCGGGTCAGTATACGAGCTAAGGTAAGGTTTGCAGTTAGCCTTAGCAGCAGATTCCGCACCTAATTTCGGGCACATTTGATTGCTGGGGAGGCGAATTCAGTCTCAACTGTATGGGTCGTGACACGTTTCCAAATGCACGCGAGTGGAGCTACCACGTTGTCAAATGCAGTCACATCACTGGTGCACGTGTAAGTGGAGCAGTGTGTGATCGACAAGAACGTATCTTTTCATATTAATGCTGTACATTCACTTTCACAACAAGACGACGGAATTTACATCTTGTCAAGGCCATCAGCACGAGACTTGAAGCCGATCTGGCCCCACCAGAGGCAGGCGAAGAGACCGAAGTGCCACAAGATCATCCACAACCTGAAATTGGGAACAACTGACAAATTAGTCGCCGCAAAATAGATAGATAAAGACGACAGGGGGGGTCAAAGATACGACGCGCTTACCAAATGGGGGAGTCAATGCTGGGGCCAGTGGGCCAGTGAGCCAGCTCGGGGCCAATGCTCTCAAAGAAGAGGCCGGTGAGGGACTTGCCGTTGATGGCGGGGATGCTGGAAGGCGCGAGCCACCCGACGAAGCCGAAGCCGATCACCGACAGGTCGGTGCGGAGCCAGTCACGCACGAAGCTGTCACAAGCAGGAAGGCACGAAGAGCAATTTGAATGTCAAGAATGATGTGAGGTGGAACATTGTTAGGAATCAAACAACCGTTGCGGACCGATTCACATACCAGGTGACGCGAGCCTCCGCGCGAGGAGCCTGCACCACGGCGCGCTGCCCAACAAATGCTGCAACATGAGACGAACCGTCAGTAATGCTCCAGGTTCTCAATCAAGGAACATTTCGCAACTAATCGTAAATACCTACCTGACTTGAGCTGGACGCGGGCGGTCTTGCGGGCAGCGAGGGAGGAGCCCGCGAGGCCAGCGGCGGGGGCAGCAAGGGAGCAAGCAGCGACGCAAGCCATGGTGACTGGTTGTGAGGGAGCAAAGTTTCAGTGCGGTGGCTGCAGTGCTAAACTCGAGTGGAGCATCTGAGCTAGTCTTTGTTGGTTGCAATGCAAGTTCTGAGTGCTTTGCAACAGCTTGAGTGGGAGCCTTGCCACGTGGAGGCGTGAATCGCAATGGATCGAAATGTGCTCATTCTATTGGCTTGTGACGTGGGTTTAGGATAAGGGCGATACCAAGCGAAGTCGTCGACTTCAGTCAGGTAACAAATTTGTCAGTAGTGGCGGCACCAGCCAGGGGAAATATAGCTTCTGATTACACTTACCACTAGACTTCTGCAATCCTAGATGACTGAAAGAAGAAGTATTTCTGTGCAATCATATATATTTTCAGTATTGGAAACAAACGTGTTGAACAGAATACAACCACGATATGAAGTATCAATATAGAAATATTACGGAATGGCGGTGGTGGTGTATGCACTTTCCCCCCCAAATTTCACTTGGTGTGATTTTCCTGACGAACAATTAGCAGCACATTACGTAATTTCCTGACAAATCTTACTAGCTGCAGACTACACTTCTAGCGCTTTATCATTATCGAAGATTCTGACGTGGCCCCTCGGCATGACACGCACATCTTATGTCAACACTGTCCACCATGTCCGCTGGCGTGGCGAGTCGGCCATTGCTGCAGTTCACCACTCACGTGGTCCCCATTCCGACTATGCCGCCCCTTGCGTAGCGAAGGCTGCGCACACCTCAAATCCTCGCACGCACTGCCCCGCCACATCGCCTAAATGGCCCTCACCGGCCTTGCCGCTGCCGCTCGGGTCCTTCGTCGGTGCTCTTGGAGTCGCCATGCGCGTGCACGCTTTGCGCTTCCCCCGGGAGTAGTCCTCCCGAGCAGCAAGTGGCCTCTCGCCGCCACTCGCTGCGAGGGTGCCGAGAGTTGCGCTCAGACCGACGGATCCGTCGCATCCCCTTTGCTTCTCCGCGCGCTCCATTCGCTGGTTGAGTCTACTCAGCCCTCCGCCCCTCATCCCTCCGGCTCCGCCCCTCATGTCTCGCGTTCCTTCTCACCTGTCGCGCCGTCGCAGCTCGCCGCGGGGCTGTGCACGAGCGCTGCCAGCAGCGTTCCCCTGCCCGTGCAGCACGGCACGTCCACGATGCGCGCCGCCGTGATGCGCGAGGTGGGCGCGCCGCTGCGCGTGGAGCTGCTGCACATCCCGCGGCCCCAGGCGGGCGAGGTGCTCATCAAGACACGCGGTGAGCCCCTCCGCACTGCGCCACACGCTCATGTTGGGGGAGGGGTTGTAAGGGGTGAAGGCGAGGTGACATGGCGGCGTTCAAGCTTCAACCGCCCATTGCGCATTCCCATTCACTGCCTCTTTCCCAACCCACTCTCTCACAGTCTGCCCCCTCTTGCATCTCGCTTTACCCCACCTGGTCGCCCGTAGCGTGCGGAGTGTGCCACACGGACCTGCATGTGATGCGCGGCCACGTGGCGTTCCCCGCGCCCTGCGTGCTGGGCCACGAGGTCAGCGGGGAGGTCGTGGACCACGGCGCCGGCACTGATGCCGCCACCATCGCCAGGTGCGCTGGGTGGCATGGCCTGCTGCTAGCAGGCCGCAGTGCAGTGAGCACGCACAGCTGTTGCCTGTGTGTGCCTTGCGGGCTTGCCTCACCCGCCTGCCATCAATGCAGCCAGCACCAATGCCGCTACTACCCTGGGGTGACGCCTGCTGTGCTCGGCCTTTACAGTGCCACTCACCTGCTGCCTCTTCTCATTCCTGCCCCCTGCCTGTCATGATCACGATGCATACGCGGGGGGAGCAGGCTGCCGGTGGGGTCACGAGTGGTGGCGGCGTTCATCATGCCGTGCGGCTCCTGCTTCTTCTGCACCCATGTCAGTCGCCCATGCCACGCCTCGCCACGCCATGCCATTCCTGCTGCATGCATGCGCCCCATCCATGCCACACTCCACCCTGCCCTCACGGCCTTCCTTCCCACGCCTCCCATCCCGAGCGCGCATGGCAGGGGCAGGAGGACATATGCTCCACATTCTTTGCATTCAACCGCCTGCACGGCACGCTCTACGACGGCCACACGCGCCTCTTCTCTGCCGACCCCTCCGGTGAGCGCCTGCCTGCCTGCCAGCGATGCTCCACTTGCACCACGTTGAGGCTGAAGCAGGCCATGCTCATGGCCCTGCAGCACTGTGCTCAGAGAAACACCGCCATGTGCGCACATTGTCACCCCTCTTCCATGCCATGCTGCAACACACCTGCTCACTCCCAACCAACCCAGCCCACCCACCCAACCCCCCTCCCACCTCCTCCCCACAACCCCCCTTACCCCCGTCGCACCCCCCTTTCTCCCCCCTCTCCCCAGCGGCCCCCCTGGCGATGTACAGCATGGGCGGGCTGGCGGACTACTGTGTGGCGCCTGCCACCGCCGTGGCGCCGCTGCCCCCCGCGCTGCCGCTGCCCGAGGCGGCCGTCATGGGCTGTGCGCTCTTCACCGCCTTCGGAGCGCTGCGCCACGCGGGGGACGTGCGGGCCGGCGAGACCGTGGCGGTGGTGGGGGCGGGCGGCGTGGGCGGCAGCTGTGTGCAGGTGGCGCGCGCCATGGGGGCGGCGAGCATCATAGCGGTGGACGTGGCGGAGGACAAGCTGCAGCGCTGCCGTGCTCTGGGCGCCACCCACACCGTCAACGCTGCCAAGGAGGACGTGGTGGACGCCATCAGGGTGGGTGCACCATGGGGGTGCTGCACGGGTGGGGTGGGGTGTGTAGTAGGGCGAGTGTGATCCCCCTCAGCCCCTGTCGTTCACTCACTTGTGGTCGCCTTGCCCCATGTATGCCCCATGTGAGCGCCCCATCTCCCCACCTCCCCCCACAGGCCATAACGGGGGGCAGGGGGGTGGACGTGGCGGTGGAGGCGTTGGGGCGGGCGGAGACGTTTGGGCAGACGGTGCACGCAGTGAGGGACGGGGGCAGGGCGGTGATGGTGGGCATTGCTGCTGCCGGCACCACTGCTGCTGTCGACATCACCCGACTCGTGCGCCGCAATGTCTGTCCTCCACCCTGCACATGCTGCTCCCACACATGCTTCTCTGCTGCTGCACCTCCGTCTTCTCTCTTAGATTCCTGCCTGGGGCCTTCCAACCTGCATGATTCCCTCCACCCCCCTCTTCCCCTCCCTGCAGATCAAGATCATAGGGTCGTACGGGGCCAAGGCGCGGTCGGATCTGCCAGCGGTGGTGGCGCTGGCAGCAGCGGGGAGGGTGGACGTGGTGTCCAGTGTCACGGAGCGCTACCGCCTTGAGGATGCGGATAGTGCATACTGCAAGCTGGAAAAGGGCAATGTGCTAGGCCGGGCTATTGTAGACATGACTCTCTGATGCATTGCACTCAGCATGCAGCCTAATCTGAACGAGTGTCCGGAGTTGCTTCCGATTGATGTGTAGCTATCTGCTCAGCTCAACGTGCGATAAAAATTTTTGAGTTCTTGAGGAGAAAGCCATCTGCCTTGGAGAATACCATGCTTTTGCACTTTCCAATAAAAATCACAAACTGAAAAACTGAGCTGATACTATGCTGCAGAAACGATGGGAGGCAACTGGCCTTCTTTACATCTGTGCGGGGCATGCAGCATGCTCACACAGCGCCAGCACCACGTGCCCTTTGGGCTGTGGCGCCTGTGGCACTTCGCCCTCCACCACCTCACAGCACTCATCAACATTATATGCACAACCACACAAAACACTGACCATCCACGTTGTCAAACGCACAAGCAGGAGGAAGAGATACCGCAGACACACAAGCAGATGCACCCAGCACGAGTGACACGCAGCGTCCATCACCTCCCCTTCGCCCCGGGCTCATGACTCGTCCCAGTGCTCTTCTCTCTGCCCTGCCTCGCACCAGAGGGCGCTGCAGGGCGTCAGAACATCCCGGGCTCCACACGGGCCACAGGGGTCCTAAGGGGAGGGTGAACACGCGCATCCAGACACACCGCTGCCGCCGCCGCTGCTGCCGCTGCTACCGCTGCAGTGTGTCCATGTGTCGGGGTTGGTACCTGCAGGGAGGCTCGTGGGAGCACCTGCACCTGTTCTTTACAGGGAATGCGGCGTGGCGCCCGCCGACCTGCTGCCATACAGCCCGCGCGCGCCAAAGCCAGCGGAGAGGCGCGGGCTGGTGCTGCTGTTGCTGCTGGTGCTGCGCGCCCAGCTGGGCAGCTGCCATCCCACGTGCAGGCGCTTCAGCGTGTACTCGTCGTCAGGGCAGTGCGGGCGCGACACGCGGATGGACCTGAGCGCGGGGCGGCAGCAGCGCGTGAGGCGCACGATGTCGTCGCGCATCAGCTGCTTGCACCCCGCCACGCTCGCCTCCTTCACCGCGCGCGCCTCCGCCAGCGCCGCTGCGAGCCCCGCGGCGGTCAGCTTCAGGCAGGCGGGCAGGGAGAGGGAGGTGAGCGCGGGGCATGCGCGGACCAGCGCGAGCAGCCCTTCGTCGCTCACGCCGCACGACGGCAGCGCCACGGTCTCCAGCGCCGCGCACGTGACGCCGTCAAACGCGGTGGCCTTGACGTCCGCGCAAGCCTTCACGGAGAGCGCGCGCAGCCGCGCACACCCCGCCAGCAGCCGCTGGATGCCCTCGTCGCTGACGTGGCAGTTGCTGAGGTGTATCTCCGTGAGAGCGGGGCAGTTGGCGGCCACCGAGTGTAGCACGGCGTCCGTGACGAGCTCGCCGTTGAGCCGCAGCAGCGCCAGGTGCGGCAGACCGCCTCTGAACGTGTGCACACCCGCCGCGCCCACCGCCGTGCCCGTGAGCACCAACTCGCGCAGCTTCTTGCAGCCGGCGATGACGGGCGCGAGCCCCTCGTCGGCGACGGCGTCGCACGCGTGCATGTCCAGCACCTCCAGCGACGGGCACCCGCGCGCCAGCCCCGACACGGCGCCGCTGTCCACCTGGCGGCTGCCGCGCAGACTCAGCACGCGCAGTTTGCGGCACCCCGCGGCGAGCGACGAGAAGGCCTCGCGCGAGAGCTGGTGCGTGTCCCCCGCGCCGTAGTCGAGGTACAGCTCCTCCAGCCGGCGGCTGTGACGGCCCAGCGCCGCCAGACCGTCATCGCTGACGTCCACGACGCCCAGATGCAGCAGGCGCAGCTGCGGACACCCCGCCGCCACCTGCGCGACGCCGGCGCCGGTGACGCGCTTGCAGTGCTTGACGTCGAGGTGCTCCAGCGCCTGCAGCCCCGCGCCGACGGCGGCGAGCGCGGCGTCCGTGACGTCCGTGAAGGAAAGGTCGAGCTCCTCCAGGCGCCGGCAGCTCTGCGCAATGTGCGCCACCACGGCATCCGTGAGATGCGGAACCGAGCGCAGGCGCAGCTTGAGCAGGCGAGGCAGGTGCGAGCCCAGCGCCATGAGCGAGTGGTCAGGACCCTTGAAGGCAGGCAGGGAGAGAATGGAGAGGTTGGGACAGCCGCGAGCGAGAGCGACGAGTCCCGCGCCATCAGCGGCCTTGCAGGTCTCGGGCACGTGCAGCTCGAGCAGCCGCGGACACAGACGGCCGATGCTGGCCAGGGAGTCCTCGGAGCAGTCGAAGAGGAAATTCAGGTTCAGCACCGCGAGCGACGGGAACCTCACCAGGAGCTTCGGGAGTTTGGATGCCTGCGGAATTGAGAATGGCAATGGGAGTCAGCGTACAGACACGTGCATAGCGGGAGGAAGAGGCGACGACAATGCGGGAGGCAAGAATTACCTTGAGGCCACTCAAAGAGAGGGTCGAGCAAGCCAGGCCGGAGGATGCCAGCCATTGCTGGCTAACGAGCGACGCTGCTCTCAAATGTGCTCTCCTTCCCGTATCTTGCTTCTCCAAATTCTGTAACGCGCAAACAGGAACGACGTTAGAAGGTTGCAATTAGAAACGACGGCAACAGATAGAACTACCTAGAACGACAAGCATACCTTCAAAATTTCAACGAGAAGCTCGCCAGGCAAGTCGTCAAGGCGACATGAACTGGACGGAGGGGACGCCACTGATGGCGAGGAAAAGTCGTCGACCTCAAAAATCATGATGATTAGTAGGAGAAGAAAAGCTGGTGGAGCGAAGCGTCGACCAGAAGGTCACTAGATTCTACAGGAAAAAAAGGGCCAACCCGTAAATCCTTCACACACTCATCTTGTCAGGCTGGCTTTAGGAGACAAATTAGGAGAAAGTAATCTCAGGGAACGTTGGAGGCAGAATGTGCGAATGTGTAAGCCGAGAGGGCGAGCGACCAAATACGCGTGGAGGGGACCGACGAATGCTGCAGCTGCGCTCTGCTGCGCTGGCCCGCCGGTCAGGGGGGGACGAACAGCACAAACCAGCTCCCCCAGTGGTTTGGGGGGACTACGTGTACGCTTTCCGTGTGCAGTCAGGTTCGGTGCCGGTTCGGGCAAAGCAGATGGGGGCAGCCTGGCGAAATCCAACGATCACGTGCGACGAGTTGCCTCTTATGGTAGGATTCAAACTCACGTGGTAACCTCCCTGCTGGTTGGCTGAAATATCAGCATTCTCCCGAACCTTCTTGCCACGAAGGCAGGTGAGTCCAGATTCGGCCCCTTCTCTTCGCGGGCAGACAGTACTGTAAGCAACGAAATATTCAGTTGCCTTATCCCGTTTCCAAGTGCGATGGGCAATCCAGCGTGGATGATGTTACTGACATGTCATGAAGTGCCTTGTCTCGTGTCATCCTAATGTGTTGCTAGTTTTCTATTGGCTGAAATACGTGACACTTTTTCTAGAGTACGAAGATTGTGGGCGCATCACCTGAAACGACTGCTCGATTTGTTCATGAACTAACATTCCCCTGACCGAGCAAATCTCAAGAGACTATACTCAATGTCTGCTGTTTCATAGGAGTAATAGACCTGCTTATACTCCAAGCTACCTACAGTTCTCGTCTCATACATTTAACGCATCTGCGTGTACGAATGCTTACAGTGCATCCACATCTCTATGTGTCGCGACCGACAATGATCTAGTTCTCAGCAGTTCTTACCCGTATGCATCGTGCTGTTAGGAGCTTTCGCAGTGGCGATGCTCCGATCGGCGGTCATTACGCGCTCCCAGCAGATCAAGCAAGCTGTCGGGCGCCAGTTTGCGTCCGCCGCGGCAGCAGCTGCTGAAAGCGCGGGGAAGAGCAAGGTGAAGGCGAAGTCGACGGGAGGAAGCAGCGGCGGGAAGAAGAAAGCTTTGGAAGACCAAGGGAAGGCGGCCTCCATTGTGGAGGCGGCGCTTCGTCATGCTCAAGTAGAGCTGGTAAGACCTGTAATGACGTCATCACCTTGCGGCTGTATGAAATGGGCGAGGGAACCATGAAAGTTGCCTTTATTGGTTGTTGAAGCGCTGTTGTCCTTGGAGCACTGACGCATCCTTCGTCCGATGCTCAAAGGTTCATGTTCTCCGTGTATTGCTGTAACCGCTGCGTCACGGGCTTGAACGATTCAATTATGCAGAGATTCATGATGCTGTCCCCTTTCCACCCATTCGACCCCTCCCCCACTTCTCCTGCCCTTCACATACCGGCTCTCCACATACCCTCTTCTTTTCCACTCAGCCAAATCTGGATGAGGCGACTCAGGAGGAGGAGAAGCGGATGGCGAAGGAGTACTCGAGGTTGATGATGCAGAAGCACCACCAGCAGAGAGGGGCCGAGTCAGCCAGGCTCAAGCTCAAGCTGGCCGCCATCCAAGCCCTACCTGCTGGCAAGCTTAGAGATGCCGCCATGCTTCCAGATTTCACTCCCTTCCCGTCCAATCGGATTGCACCATCTCTGACACCTCCAATCAAGGAGCTGCAAGAGGAAAGAGCAAGGACTAGCGACCAACAGGTTGTAAGAAAAATCCGGTAGTACCATTTTCTCCTATCCGTATGAAACTGCTCTAGTTCCTCAGTAACCTGTGCCAAATGGTGTCATTAGGGTTGTGGGTACAGCTAGGTCAACTGAAACATGGATAAAAGACTGCATAGCATAAAAGGCTTACGTTAGTGAACTCCCCACCGCTAATTGATAGGGCTGCATCTGCATGTAAGGTGGCTAGCCCTCAACACAATGTTGTTGTTCCACTTCATCTCGGCAGCATTTTTACAATACTTGGTGGCTTGCACTTTCACTCCCTATATAATAAGCCAAATGTTATGAATTGATTGCGGTGTATGTTCAGATTCTAGGCGGTCCGCTGCTTCCCGCCACTCTGCAATTCGTGTCGTGAGGCATCTGAACTGGAGTCGCGTCGCAAATTCGCGTGGCTTCTGACTCGTCTCTGCACCACCGCGCACCCATCCGCGCACGACCCACTCACTCACGCCCACAACTGCTCTTCTGTGGGTCGCCGTGCCAGCCATGAATGTCGGTAAAGCAGGATCAAGTGATGGGTCGAAGGAGTTAGCCGAGCTGGTGGCCATCACACACTAACAGGGCGATGTGCTTGTCAATTCACTATTGTTGACTTAGTCCCACTAGTGTTCTAGGGCTTTCTACTCGTGGCAGGTGTAGGCGGCAAACATGCTCTCAATGCTTTGAGTAATTCTCCCCAAGCTTGGTAATAGTACCCTCGATGCTAGCGGCGCCTGATTTGTACCCCTTTCGCCGGCAGCCATGCCGCCGTTCAAGTCCCGCATAGCGCTCCTCACAGGTGTGATTTCACCTTTGTGTTCCGCCTCTACCTTGACCTTTCCTCTCGTCACCCTGCGTTGATATAGTTCGCTCTGACGAGTAGATCTCCACTTTTCTCCCATCGCCTTTCGAGAGGCCATGTCCCTTGGCCCCCTCGCCGTCCTGTCCGTCGTTCATCGTTGCTACCGCATCTCCATCCGCGTCGCCCGTCAGCACATTCGCCTAGTCCGTCGTCATACCTCCTCACCCCCTCTCCCTCGCCACCCCAGCTGTAGGTAGCCCTCAGACGCGCTCACGCCGCCTCGACTCACTTTCCCCATGCTCCCCTTGCAGCGTTCCTCCTTGTTACGTCAACGTGTCGGCCGTGCCGCGGCGATGGATGGGAATTGGACCACGCAGCGTCGCACCCGGCGGAGCGACCATTCACGTGCGTGCACGACTCGCATGTGGCGGCGCGCAGCAGAGAGCACACGCGCCGGCAACTGGCGTCGTACCGCACAGGGTGGGTGGGGTGAGGCGTGGGCAGGCGCCGGTAGTGTGGGGGGGCAGGTGGAAGAGATGGAAGGAGGGATGAGAGAGCACGGGCGACGAATGGCGTCGAGGGCAGCCCCTCGTCTTTTTGTGCTCACGTCCCTTCCTCTCCGCACCTCTCAGGTTCGGCGTGGGGGAGTGGGCTCGTCAACGCCCCTCCCCGCCCTCGCGGCAGCTGCTTGGGACCGCCTCTCCCGCCGCCACTGTCTCCGCCGCCTCCGCTTCCCCCCCTCGACCACTCCGCTTCCACACGGTGCGCCCGCTCCCCCCAACTCACCACAATTTCTTCTTTCCCGCCCGCTCATGGTTATATGCCAACCAATGCCCCAGCAAGCATCATGCATATTGCGCCTAATCCCGCCCACCCCGCTGACCGCGTTGACCGCATTGACCGCATGGAGCAGGTGTCGTCGGTGGAGCAGGACCTACCCGACGACCCCCTGCGGGCGAAATACATCCAAGGCACGCTCGTGCCCGACGCGCTCAGGTACGCACGCTCGTGCCCGACGCGCTCAGGTACTCAATTCGCGCCTCCCACCGCTCACCTTCGCTCAGCATCTCTTCTAATCTGCTCCACTCCCTCCCACACCCTCTCACCCTATTCCCCTCTCCCCTCCGCTCCACGTTATGCCTCCTCCCTCCGCACCCCCCTCCCCCAGCTACCTGAGTCGGCTGCTGTCCGTGCGCGTGCTGCCGCCCGACCCGCTGTTGCTGCCCGTGGCGTGCGCCGCGTTCACCGCGCTCTCCAACGGCTCCTCCGCCTGCACGCAGCTCGCGCCCATGTGCGACGTGAGTGCCGCCCATGTGCGACGTGAGCGGAGGGAGAGCCTTCGATTTCTCAAAAACAACATCAACATAGCAAAGGGCCGAGATGTGGGCGGGGGGGATGAGGGGGCGATGGGGGGAGGCAGAGAGGGGAGCGGAGGAGTGCGAATGTCGCAATAGCGTGCACCTAGCACCCGCATTCACGCCATGTCCACGTGGCTGTTCCTCGTTGTGACGTGGCAAATTGTGGTGCATCCATGCAGGCCGAGGTGGACATCGACGTGGACCCGTCCCTGCTGGCGGCGCATTCGCTCTGCCAATCAGAGGACCCCGCCACGTGTGGGGAAGTGGCAGCTGGGACAGGCACACCTGGTGCTGACGTCATCCTGTTCCTCTCAGCCAAGGTGAGTCGTCCAACCCACCAGCTCTCCCCTAGCTGCGCCTGCCGCCTGCCTCCTTCATCCCCTCCTACCTCGCGCCCTCCCGCTTCCTTCCGCAATCCCCCCCACAACTCCCGTCATCCCCTCCTGCATTCACCCTCCCAATCAACGCACCCCCCGTCCCTCCCCGTGCCCCCCTCTCCTTCCCACCCCCTTGGCGTGGAGCAGCAAACGGCGACGTGCGGCAGCACGACAGCGGCGGCCCACGCGTCGCACTGCGCGGTGGACCCCGCGTCGAACCGCCCTCTCGCCGCGTCGCTCAACCTCTGCCCGCTGGCTTGGCGCGCCGTGGGGCAGCACTCGCCGTCGTACGACTCGCAGGTACCGCCGGGGGAGAAGAATGCGCAGGGTGCTCGGCGCGTGGGGGGCAGGGGGGGCAGGCGCATACACAACACGCGCGACACGCCACCCGCTCCACCCCGCCTGCCGGCACTTCTACCTCCCTTTTTCCTTACCCCCACTACCTTCCTCCCTTATCCTTTCCCCCTACTTCCCCCAATCACATCGTCCCCCTGACCGCCACTTCCCCCCGTTCCCGCTTCGCTTCCCTCCCCTCTCCCTCAGGTGCACGTGGTGCTGCACCAGCTCACGCACGCGCTCGCCTTCAGCTCCGCGCTCTTCCCGCTCTTCAAGGACGTGCGAGGTACGCCGCTTCTCTGCATTTCCGCTGCATCGCGTCTCCTTGCCTTGCATTCACTCGCTGCTGCTCTGCGTCTCCCTTGTCTCCTCTCCACAATCACTCCTCTCCCATTCCCTGTCACTCCCCTTCCGCCTCTGCGCTGTCCCCTTCCCCTCCCCACGGCGGTCACCAGGCCAGCCGTACGCGCAGGTGGTGGCGACGGTGCGGCAGGCGGACGGCAGCAACGTGTCGAAGATCGTCACGCCCGCCGTGGTCGCCGCGGCGCAGCGCCACTTCGACTGCCCCGCGCTCGACGGCGCCGAGCTGCACTCCGCCCCGCCCTCCGTCTCCGCGCCCGCCTCCTCCCCCGCCTCCGCGCCTCCTGCGGAAGCGAACAGCACGGAGTGGGGGTCACTGGTGGTGTCAGCGCAGCCGGAGGAAGCGCTGACGGGGGGAGTGGCGCTGGACGGAGTTGGGGGGGGCGAGGGCGGGGAGGTGGTGAGCAGCCATTGGAGCGTGCTGCGCTTCGAGCACGAGTACATGGTGAGGTGGGAAGCAGGGAGAGAGAGCGAGAAGAGGGCAATGGCAGCGAGCAGCCAATGTAAGGCGCCTGTGCGCTCTACTCGGGTCCTCTGCCTCCCATCCCCTCACATGCCTTGCCGCCACCCATCAACCCTCTCCCTCCCCTCCCGAACTCCCCATCCCCCCTCCAGACGCCCCTACTGGACGGGGTGCCGGTGGTATCGGAGCTAACACTAGCGCTATTCCAGGACAGCGGGTGGTACGCGGTGACGCCAGGCATGGCGGGCATGCTGCGCGCCGGCTACCACCGCGGCTGCTCTGCTGCCACCGCCGCCCTCTCCTGCCCGCCCTCCGCCTCCGCCTCCGCGTCCGCGTCCGCCACCACTCCCCCCGGCTTCTGCTCCGCGGCGGACCTCAACCGCTCCGCCACCTTCTCCGCGGGGGGGGACGTGCGCCGCGTGCCCATGGTGGGTTCACCGTGGGGTTGGGAGTGCCATGGGTCATTCCTGCAATCTCCCTCCTGGCTCCATGCTGTACCATCCCGCCCACGCTCTCCTCCCTTCTCTCCCCCTTCTCATCTCACCTCCTCCCCTCCCAACCCCCACGCCCCACCCCCAGCCGCTGACATGCTCCTCCGACTTCCTCTCTGTCGCCACCTGTGACTCGGGCTGCGGCCCTTCCTCTTCTTCTTCCTCCTCCTCCCCCGCGACCTGCCTCTTTGGCACGTGCAAGCACAAGACCAGGTACGCCGCATTCACCTGCTCATGCTCGCCTCTGCTGCCCTCCTCCACCGCCCCCTTTCTCCCTTTCTCCCCTCTCGCCAATTCTCCTCCCGCCTTCCATCCCCCCTCACCGCACCTCACCTCCCCCCTCCCCCTCCCCATCTCTCCTCTCCCCTTCCCCATCTCCCCCCTCCTCCCAATGCAGTGTGGAGTCGCAGCGCTGCCAGGCGCCACGTGGAGCGGAGGAGAGCCGGTCAGCGGAGGTGCAGCAGCTGGGCATGGCGTACGGCCCGGCGTCACGCTGCTTCCTGCACGGTCCGCAGTTCTTCGACTATGCCTTTGGTGCCGGCGCCACCCCGCCCCCCGGCGCCGGCTGCTACCCCATGCGCTGCGTCCCCTCCGCCTCCGCCTCCCGTGACTCCCGCTCCGCTGAATCCGCTGATGACCCCCCCACTGCTCCCGCCCTGGATCCCTCGGCTGGCGCCAACGGCAACGGCAGTGCTGCCGTCGCCCCCAAGGCGCAGGGCGGCAGCGCGCTCTCGCTGCCCGCCCCTTCCTCCACCCCCAAGCGGCAGCTGCGGGGCAAGGGCAAGGGGAAGGGCAAAAAGGGGGGGCGGGGGAAGAGGGGGGGCGGGGGGATGGTGGTGGAGGTGCGCGTGGGCGCGCAGTGGTACGCGTGCCCCTCAGGCCGCATGGTGGCGCTGGACCAGGGCGGAGGGGACTTCCACGGGGGCTCCATCGGCCCCTGCCCTGACAACCGCCGCATGTGCCTCTCCGCCTCCTGCCCCAACGACTGCTCGGGGAAAGGTGTGCAAGGAGCGGTGTTGGCGGGGGAGGCAGAGGGGGTGGGGGAACCAGGAAGAAAATGAGGAGAGTGAGCAGTGAGGCGGAGCGGCTGCGCTGCTAGCTGCCCTGGCCTCTGGTGTGTCGTGTGCCATTGTAACGAGATGACTTTCGAGTCGACTCAAAAGTCATCTGGTGTGCAGACAACCACCCTGCCCTTGCGTGCTCCTGTTCTTTCTCCAACTCCCCTGTGGTGCGTGTGAGCAGGTATATGCTACAACAGCACGTGCTACTGCCTGCCCGGCTATGCTGCCGCTGACTGCAGCCAGGTGAGAACCTCCCAGTTGCTTCACCAGGCCAATGTCAGGTGCTTCCCCAGGTGCATGCCAGATGCTTTCGCGGGTGCTTCCTCGGGTGCTTCCTATACCGCTCTCATATGCCCTCTGCTCCCTCCTTATGTACTGACAGCCCCTCGCTCTGCCCCATCTCCCGTTCTCCCCCCCGACAATCCCCCTTCAGGTGGCGTGTTCACCGCTCGCCCTCACACCCGCCTCCACCTGCCGCGCGCCTGCCTCCTGCGACCACGCCTCGGGTCTCTGCCTCCTGCCCTCCGGCCGCCCCTCCCCCCTCCCCCTCGCCGCCGCGCCCCCCTACACTCCCCCGCCGCCCCCCTCCCCGCCTGCTCCACCTATCTTCCCCCCGCCCGGCGCCCCACCCGCCCCTGGAAGCACCGCCAACAGCAGCACCGGCAGCAACAGCAGCGGCAGCAGCAACGGCACCATAGGCATAGGGGGAGAGGCGCCGCAGCACGGGGTGCTGGTGCGCAGCGTGGTGGTGCTGGGGGGCGCCAACATCAGCGCCATCCGCGAGGGCGCGCGCCTGCAGGAGTTCCAGGCGCAGTTCCAAGCGCAGATGAGCGCAGCGGCGCGCGCGACGGGGTACGAGGGGCAGGTGGAGGTGGCGATCGACGCCATCTATGCCGGCAGCATCCTCGTGCACTCCACCGTCAACTTCTTCCAAGCCACCAGCTTCAACATGCCTGGCGTGCTGCTGCACAACCTCATGTAAGCCGCTCTCGCTCCCCTCTCCCGCTCGCTCACCACCACTCATCTGTAGGGGGCTGCTCAGTCATCTTCGTGCAGTCCACTGTCAACTTCTTCCAAGCTACCAGCTTCAACATGCCGGGCGTGCTGCTGCACAACCTCATGTGCGTTGCTGCTATCACCCACTCACTCCCCTCATCCGCTCGCTCCCCCCACCCGCATGCTCACCACACATTTCCAAGGGGCTGCTTGCTCGCTGCGCTGCCCCTTGCCCTAAGCCGTCAGCCTGTGCTGACGCCTCCTGTCTCCCCTTCTTAATCTATCTCCTCTATTGCTCTTCCGTCCCTTCCCCCCACCAACTTCCCCTTATCCGCCCTCCACCCCCTTCCCCACTCCCCCCTTGACAGCACGTCCCCAGCGATGATATTCGCAGCATCATCCTACTTCCTGGCGCTGCCCTCCGGGCGCATCTCGTCCTTCAACTGCTCCATGGCCGCCGCGCCCGCCTCCAACAGCGCGCCCCAGGGCGCCGAGGGGCCGCCCCTGGGCATCTCGTACGGCGCGTGGGCCGCCATGGCTGCCGCCATCCTCGTGGCTGGCGTCGCCATCTGCACCGTGCTCAGCCGCCGGGGTGAGTAGAGGGGAAGAGGTGGGGGGAAGGAATTGGGGAGGTGAGAAAGTAGAGATGGGAGAAAGTAAGGAGGCGTGCTGCTGTTTCTCTTGCTGAGCCGCTGCAGTGATTGGGGGGGGAGGAGGGAGAAGGAGTGGGGAAAGGGAGGGGTGCTGCTGCTTCTGATGCTTAGGTATATGTGCTGGTGCTGACTCGTGTGTGCATGCGTGTCTCTGTGTGTGTGAATGGCAGCATCAAGAAGGCGACGCGAGGCGCTACTCTACGCACAGTAAGTGTCGCATCACCCTCACAGCCTTCCTCTTCCTGCCCGCCCTCACAGCCTTCCTCTTCCTGCCCGCGCTCACTGCTCAACCCGCTTCCGTCCACCCTTCCTCCCCGCCTGCCTCTCATTCCCTCCTGCCTCTGTGTGTTCCCTTCCGCGTGCCCCAACCATCCCTCCCCCTTGCGAGCAGCGGGTACGACGCGACAGGGGCGCCGTGGTACATGGAGGGGGAGGAGTACGAGGACGACATGGAGGCGGACCTCGACCTTGATCTCGACCCCCTCGAGGCCTACGCGCAGGTACGCTTCCTCTCCTCTCCCACCCCCCCAACCCTGCTCACGCCATGGGCCTCATGGGCGCTTGCCGCATGTGTGTTGGGTGTGCGCACATCATGCCACACCCGCATGCCCCTCCCTCCCTCCCTCGCTCATCACCCATCTTCCCCTTTCCCTCCACGTCCTTCGTTCCTCCCCCACTCGCCCCGCCAACAGCTGGTGGCGGAGGCACAGCAGCACCAGGGGGGCGACATGGGAGGAATGGGCGGCATGGGGGGGATGGGCGGGATGGGGGAGGAGGGCATGCAGGGGGGCATGGCGCAGCTGTCATCCCTGCCGTCATCGCTGCATGCAGCAGCCTTCATGGCTGCAGCAGCAGGGGGTGGCGCAGCACCCCCTCCAGGACCCTCCCCCCCTCTCCTCCCCGCCAGTGAGCGCCTCCCTGCGCCCTCTCGCCCTCTCTTCGCCCTCCCGTCCTTCTCATCGCGCCGCCACCCCTCCGCCTTCAAGCCCTCGCGTGCCATCTCAGGCCCCATCCTCTTCCACGCACCCACCAACAGCACCTTTGGAAGCGGTTCCGCCATGCCCCGCCCCCCCTCTGGCCCGCTGCTCCCCCCTTCCTCTGCCGCCAGGGAGACCGCCAGGCTTGGGGGGGGCGGTCAGGGGGACGACGACGCGGAGGGGCAGGAGGGGTGTGAGGGGAAGGGCGCAGGGGGGGGCGTGGAGGAAGGGGAGGAGGCGTGGGCGAGGGCGGCGTTGAGGCGGCTGGTGCGGTCGGTGTCGGGGCCGCTGGCAGTCATCTGGGCGTCCGACCCGCGCCCCCCCGCGCCCGCCACGCCGCACCACCCCCACCCCTACCACCCGCACCGCCTCTCTGGCCGCCTGCGCATGGGCGGCGCCTCCGGGCGGCTGTCTGGGCGGCTGTCCGGGCGGCTGGTGGCAGGGCGGCCAGCGGGCGGGCCGAGGCGGTCGGGGGAGCTGAGGCGATCGGGGGAGCTGGCAGAGGGGGCGGGCGCGCGGGCAGGGGGGAGGCGGTTCCCCTCAGGCGAGCTGGGCGCGGGGATGGGCGCAGGGGGAAGGCAGAGGGGGATGTCAGGGCCAATCGATGCCATGGGGCGGCCTGCAGGGGCAGAGTTCATGGGCGTGGGCACGGGCGTGGGCAGGCATGCTGGGGGGCTGGGTGGGGGCACATTGCCCCTGTCCCTCGCTGCAGGCAGCTACGCTGGCAGTTATGGAGGGAGCTACGGGGGGAGCCATGGGGGCAGTCACGGGGGCAGCAACGCAGGCAGCCAGCCCGGCACACAGCCACAGTCACCGTCCAACCGAGGGGGGGCAGGGCGGCGGGCAGGGGGTGAGCAGGAGGCGGAGGGCAGTGCGGCAGTGGGGTCGCTGAGTGGGATAGAGCCGTCGCTGCTGCACCAGATGCACCTGCACGGCATGCACCTCCCCCACCACCTCCCCATCCACGCGTCCGCCTCGCAGCCCTCCATGGCCGCCCACGGGCATCCCTCACCACAGCCGGGGGCACAGGGCGCAGCAGCGGCAGCAGGAGGGGAGGGCGGGGCGGCGCGCATGGTGCGGGTGGGCTCTGCGGATTCCGCTGCTGCTGCTGCTGCCGCCGCTGCAGGGGGGCCAGGGGGTCTACCGCGGGCGAGCAGTGGGGGGCTGCCGGGCACGGGGGGCTCCACGCCCACTCTCAGGCGCGGCCTCTCTGTGTCTCCCTCCCACCGCGCTGCTCTTGTCGCCGCCCTCGCTGCTGCTGCAGGTCAGCCCACTGCCCCACCGTCTCTGTCGTTGCACAACGCTGGTGCTTTATCTCCCCCACCTGCCAAGCTGCACGCCTCTCCACCCTCACCGCACCTTGCCCGCGTACCCTCGCTCCAATGCACTCACAGAGCCTCCCTCTCCGCGCCACCACCCCTTCCCCCCTCCCTCCCCCCTCCCACCAGACCCACAGTACCCCGTGGAGGACAGCGGTGCCGACTACGCCCCCACGCCCTCCATGCTGCGCTCCCGGGTCAGTGCCCCCCGCTGCCTGCCCCCTGCTCCCTGCTCCCTGCTCCTTGCTCCCTGCTCCCTGCTCCCTGCTCCCTGCTCCCTGCTCCCTGCTCCCTGCTGCCTGCTGTTGCCTGCTGTCTGTTGCCCCCCCCTGCATCGCTGCCCCCTTTCGTCCTATGCTCTGCTGATCTGCTATGCTCGCTCACTCCCCATGTCACTCCTCGCTTCTTGCTCCATCGCTTATACCCTAACATCCTCGTGTCGCCACCTTCCCTGCTCTTTTTTTGGGTCGCCACAGAGCATCCGTGTGGGTCGCTCGGGCCACCTCACTGCCTCAGGTCAGCTCAACCCTTCCGGGCAGCTCAGGGCCTCCGGGCAGCTGCGAACGTCTGGGCAGCTGCGGCGGCTGGCGTCAGGGCAGCTGCAGGTGCCGGATCACCTGAACCTGAACAGCACCACCACTGCCTATCCCACGGGCCACACCAATGGTGGCACCAACGCCAGTGGCAGCGGCGCATGGTCATACTCTGCCATGGGCCCGCCTGCCCATGCTGCCCCCTCTGGCTCCACCGACACCACCGCTGCTGCAGGGGCGGGGGGAGGCGAGCATCATGTGCGCATGTCCGGGCAGTTGGTGGGTGGGGGGGCTGCCGAGGGCGGTGGTTCGGGCATCGCAGGGTCGGGCATAAGTTCGGGGATAGGTTCGGGGATTGCAGGGTCGGGCATGCTGTCGGCATCAGGGTCGGCGTGGGGGCAGATGCCGCACTTTGCTCAGCTGAACCGGTCGGGGCAGCTGAGAATACTCAAGCAGCTGGGCACTCATGGGGCAGGCACTCCTCCCATGGCCATGCATGGCCACGGGCAGGGGCAGGGGCAACACGGGCATCATGGGCAGGCAAGGCAATCGTCCCCCCGTGCTGCTTCCCCACAAGCCGGCAGCCATCCAGGCCAGTCATTCCAGCAGTCAATGCAGTCAAGCCAGTCAATGCAGCAGGCAAGGCGGGCAGTGTCCGGGGTTGTGCGCTTCTCCAACCCGCTGGCTGCCGCCCACCACACCGCCTCCTCCGGGCAGCTCAACGCGCCCCAGCGCGGCGCCAACCAATGGCTGCGCAGAGCCCGCTCCAATGTGGGGCTGTCCGGGCAGGTTGAAATGTCGGGCAGGGTGGCGCAATCAGCGCAGATGGTGAGAGTGCCCAGCAACGGGGAGTACTCTGTTGCCCAGGTTACCCCATCCGGGCAGCTGAGAAGAAATCTCTCTTCTTTCGCAACTTCGGGGCAGCTTCGGAACCCGTCAGGTCCGTTCGCCCAGTGGGGACGGGGGGGATCGGGGCGGCGGGAGGAGCTGGCAGAGGCAGCAGAGATGGCGGCAGAGCAGGCAGAGATGGCTGATTTCTACACCCGCATGCGCAATAAGGCCACTTCCGGGCCCATCTACTTTGGATGACTGGCACGCATTGTAGCTTGTACATCACGTTTATGCGTGATAGCTGAATAAGTTATAGCACACATGCACATTGGCTGTGTGTCCTCCATCAATTGCCGATAGGAATAGATCCTTATTAAGGGGGGGGGGGGGGAGTGTGGAATAATCATGTGTTGATATGTTACACACGCTAGGATGGTAACTGAGCTGTGGTGTAGCACATTTGAATCTGTAACATCTGATTATATTATAGGCCAGACCTGAGCTAATACATCACAGGCGGTACCGCCATCGCCCGGATAGTAGGCAGTGTTGAATAGTAGACAGGGGTTGTCTATTATCCGGGTGTCTCTTATAAACAGGCTAGCCTCATTATAAGACACCAATTTGTGTGTACGAGTTAAGGGTGTGTAGGGGTTAAGGGCAATTGTATAACGAGGGGGTGTCTTCTAAACGGTTTTTTGTCCATTTATAAGACTAATAAGACACCCTAAACCATCCCAAATACAAGATAACCCAAGCATTTTGAGTAGTGTACGAGATAAGACATATATGTCTACTATCCGGGCGATGACGGTAGCAGCTTGTTAGTACCACTAGGACCTCAGCATGACCTTCATATAAGAACTAACCTGACTAGTGGTGCGTAGCAGTTAAGTAACGCCCAGATCTAGCAACTAGGCCAGATAGCAAGTGAAGCAACACGATCTCATGAAAGCATGTTCGTGGTGGGCGGGGCCTAGTACCCATCCACGCACACCACTGACACTAATTGCAGCCACATTATTTACAGCAGGGTGGGCTGTCTCACGCCCTGCTTCCACTAGTGAGGGCCTTGAGGCGGGCAGCAAACTGTGTGGAGAAGTGGGCGGCAGCAGCAGCGATGGGGTGGGCAGCGCCGTGCAGCGCGTGGGCGTTGGAGGCGATAAGGGCAATGTCGTGCAGCAATGCGTCTAGTGAGCGGTACCACCCCGATGCCATGCGCGCCTGTACCAGAGCCACACTCATGGGTACTGGGATGCTGGAGGGTGGGGAGCGGAGGGGTGTGGAGGGGACGGGCCAACGGAGGGGGTAATGGGTGCGAGGGGAGGGTGGAGCTTCAGGCGCAGTGCCAAGTTGGAGGTTCACGGGCGTGCAGGTGGAACAAGGTAGAGCAGGGCAGAGCAGGGAAGGCATGGGGCAGAGCAGAGCAGGGACGGCAGCTAGGAGAGTTGTGTGCAGGCAGCAGTGCAAGCGACAGCAAGGCAGCGAGGTACACGCACGAGGAGAGGGCAGCGGGGGAGGAGTCGGGCGAGTAGAGAAGGTGCAGTGTGCCGTGCACGCCCTCGTCCTGCTCCACCGCCCTCAGTGCCTCCCTGGCAGCTGTGAGCAGGTGCGCGGGCATGGCGGGGCGGGTGGGCCAGAGCGCGGGGTCGGGGTCCAGCAGCTCCCACGCGCTCTGCCTCTCCACACTGCGGTCGTGCGCGTAGTACACCCGTAGCCTGAGGGAGGGGGAGTAGGGGGGGAATGGGGGGACAGCGGTGAGAACGGAGGGGTGTGAAGCAGAGGGCATGCAGAGGCAGTGGAGCAGGTTGGGAAAACGGGAGCAAGAGGGGCAGCAAGCACTGAGGGGCAGCAAGCGCTGAGGGGCAGCAAGCGCTGAGGGGCAGCAAGCGCTGAGGGGCAGCAAGCGCTGAGGGGCAGCAGGCGCTGAGGGGCTGACCTGCGCCAGGGGCTGAGGGGCAGGGCGGGGTCAAAGGGGCCATCGGACTGGATGCGGCCGCGGAAGAGCACTGCGCGTGGGTGCTCTGCCACTGCCCTGCCCCATGATGACTCCGGCAGGGGGGGTGGCTTGAGGCCTGGTGGCAGTGACTCCCGGCTCCAATACGCCTGCGGGCAAGCATAGAGGCGCGTGCATGGGGAGGGACGGAGAGGGGAGGGGTGGTGAAAAGGGGGGGAGGGGAGTGGAGCAAGTAGCAGCAGTGGAAACAGCTGTGTGCGTGGTGTGGTGCATGAACGACAGCCCACCGCCCGCCACACCACATACCAGGCAGTGCTGCTTGGGGCACCAGCCGTTGGCGAGGGCAGCATCATAGCGCCAGCGCTCCACCACATACTCCTCACCCTCCTCCTCCACCTCCACCCCCACCCGCTCCCCAAACGCCGGGCTCTCACTCTCCACCACCAGCAGCACCGCTCTGCACCCCACTCGCCGCGCCTCCCCCGCCCCCCTGCCTCCCCCTCGCCGCCCCTGCCCTGCCCCCCCACCACCGCTCTCCACCCAGTAGTACCCCACCTCCTCCACCACACACGGCTCCGCCGGCCGCAGCTTCCTCCGAAGCTTCTCGTCCAGGCCCCGGCTGCGGCTGCGCCCAGCACTTTCCAGGAAGCTGAGGTGGCCCTGGAAGCAGTAGATGACGTCATCACCCACCTGGGGCAGGTAAGGGTCGCCCTCCCTCCATTCCGTCCCCCCCACCCACCCCGCACCCGCTCGCACCCGCCCCACTGCCCTGCCACCCCCCTCGCTCCTCTCCCCATCGCGACCTCCTCTCGCCTCGCCCCCCAGTGTCCCGGGAGAGGGTGCCAGGGCTGTGAGTCGGGGGGAAGCACGCGGGGTGATGGCAGCGAGGCGGGGGCTCCTGGAGGAGAGAGCCAGGGGGGAGCTGCGAGCGCCGGAGCCTGTAGGTGTGGCAGCAGGTGAGGTGGGGAGGCGCGGGCGCAGGCGCGGGCTCGCTGTGTTGTGTGGGGGAGGTGGGGTGGGAGCAGTGCGGCGAGAGGGTGGGGTGCGGTGCTGTGCGGTACTCCGCCTGCCCCGCTGCTGCCGCCCTGCTGTCTGTGTGCGTGTGGCCCGCTTGCCCCGGCGGCGGCGAGTGCTCCTGGTTTGCCGAGAAGCTGCCCTCTTCCGCTTCCTCTGGCCGCCCATGTCCTCACTCCCCTCACTCCCCTCACTCCCCTCACTCCCCTCACTCCCCTCACTCGCTTCACTCTCATCACTCCTATCACTCTCACCACCCGCATCACTCCCCTCACTTTCATCACTCCCATCACCCTCACTTGACTCACCATATGACTCACTCTCCTCCTCCTCCCCCTCTTCCTCCTCGGCCGCTTCCGCCTCCTCTACACTCTTTGCCCCCTCCCCCTCCCCCTCCCCCTCCCCCTCCCCCTCCCCCTCCCCCTCCCCCTCCCCCTCCCCTCCCCCTCCCCCTCCCCCTCCCCCTCCCCCTCCCCCTCCCCCTCCCCCTCCCCCTCCCCTCCCCCTCCCCCTCCCCCTCCCCCTCCCCCTCCCCCTCCCCCTCCCCCTCCCCCTCCCCCTCCCCCTCCCCCTCCCCCTCCCCCTCCCCCTCCCCCTCCCCCTCCCCCTCCCCCTCCCCCTCCCCCTCCCCCTCCTCCTCCTCCTCCTCCTCCTCCTCCTCCTCCGCAGCATCGTTCCCCTCACACCCCTCCTCCTTCCCCCCACCCCCTATATCCGCCTCACCATTCGCCGCTCGCTCACCCCCATCTGCCCCCATCGCCCCACCATCTCCCACCCTCTCACACTCCCCACTCGCCCCACCATCCTCGCCCAGACCATCCCTCTCCTGCCCCTTCCCCCTCTCATCCCCCTGCTCTGCTTCCCCCTTCCCCCTTCCTCCCCCTCCACAAGCCTCGTCACCATCAGCAGCACCACATCCGCTTCTCTCCCCTTCACTGTGCCCGCCACCACCATCCACGCCACCACTTGCGCCCCTCTCTCTCTGCTCGCCCCCCGCGTTCCCCTCCACGTCCTCCCGGCCCTGCCCTTCCTCCATCGCGCACCGCTGCTCCGCAACACCCCTCTCTGCACTCCTCCCACCCTCTTCCCCAGCCAGCTCCCTAGCTTCAGCTGCATCGCCAGCACTGGCAGGAGCCGGGGCATCAGCAGGCGCACCAATTGTGCATGTGTGCTGCCCCTCACTGCTGCCCCATTCACTGCATAGCGCCTTCATGACACCATCGCTCCCTGCTTGCCCGCCACCGCTCTCCCCCTCACACCCTGGCTCCCCATTCGCATTCCCTCGATCACACCCATTCCTCTCGCTAGTATTGCCTCCGTCTCCCTCCTCCTTGACGCCCACCTCCCCTCCGCCATCCTCCCTACCGCCCTCGTCTCTGCCAGCCTCCCCCCCACCGCCCTCATCCGTGCCCCCCGCCCCAGCACCAAGCGGGCTGAGCAGGTCGTCCCCAGGCAGCCCTGCGCCCTCGTCCGCGCCCTCCTCCCCAAACAGCTCAACGAACAGCTCCTCCTTGCGCGCACTCATCTCCCCCCCTTCCTCCCCCCACTCCCCTCCGTCCCCCGCACCCCCTGCGCCCTCACTGCCCGCCCTGCTCTCCGACCCCAGAACACCCTGCAGCAACCAACCCCCTGCACCCTCTGCTGCTGCACAGCCCTCCATCGCAGCACCATCCGCGCCAGCAGCATCAGCAGCAGTCTCACCACAAGAAGCACCACCAGCGGCACCAGCAGCACCAGCAGTGGCATTCGCCATATCCTGCTCGTCCTCACTCTTGTGCCCCTCCTGCTTCATCCCATCCCTCCCATCCCTCCCATCTTTCCCATCCTTCCCTCCACTCCCCTCTGCCTCAAAATGACGTCCCTCCTCTATCTTACTGCCCCCCTCACCCACCGCCACACCAGCACCTGCCTCTCTCGCGTCCTCCTCTGCGCCCTCGCCCTCCCCCTCTCTCCTCACATCCTCTCCATTTCCATCCTCCTCACCAGTGGCTCCCTTCCCCTCGGCAACCTCTGTCTGGCACTCAACATGACTACCTGCTCCTGCACCTGTGCCTGCACGTGCCCCTCCATGTACCCCGGCATCCCCCCGTCCACCATCGTGCAGTCCCACAGCGTGTTCGCCCGCACTGGCCCCGCTCCCAGGACCCACCATGTCTGCACCACCACCCTCACACACAGCAGCAGCCGGCACTGCTGTGCGGGGGAGAAGCAGCGCCAGAGCACACACACCTGACCCACCGCCGCCCTCAGCCTCCTGAACATACCCTCCTCCCACTCTATCTGTGCGGCCTGTGCGCTGCACTGCTGTCCCCCGCGCGTTCCTCTTCCTCCTCGTGCCAGCCGGCACCGCCACCGGCAGGCCCCCGTGCGCCGCTGCTGTAGCAGCGGCAGCAGCAGCATCAGCACCTCCAGCAGCATCAGTTAGGTTGTTAGCAGCGCCAGCAGGCGCGGAGTCAGCAGCGGGCGCGCTTGGAGGGGCGCCAGGCGTCGTCGTCATCTGCACAGCCCACACAGCGCCCACCCCACGCACGCCTGCACGTTCGTCAGTACCCAGTGATGCACTCTGCACGACCCAATTCGACATGCGCCCTCGCTCACCCCCTGCTCGCTCTTGCTCCTCCTCATTCTCTTGCCCCTCCTTACTCTCTTGCTCCTCCTCACTCGCTTGCCCCTCCCCACTCTCTTGCCCCTCCTCACTCTCAAGTCCCTTCTCACTCTCATCTCCCTCATTTCTCTTCCTCGCCACTCCCTTCTCTCCCCCCCTCCCCTTCCCCCGTGGTGTCCTAGCCCTCAACACGTGTCCTCCCTTCACCACGTCACCACCCTCGCCCCTCTCCCTTCCCCCCCTTTCCCCACTTGCAAGCCCCTCTCCCTCACTCTCATCCCCGCCCATCCCCTCTGCATCTTCGTCCTCACTGCCCTCCCCATCCCCTGCCAGCCCCTCCCCGCTCGCCTCACCCAAAGCTCGCCTCCCCCTCTCCCCCACACCTCCCCATGACCTCCCTGACCCCACCCGCGCCCTGCCCCCATCCCCACCTGATCCTGCAACTCGCGCCTTGCTGCCTCTTCCTCTGCTGCCCGCGCCCCTCCCTTGCCCCGCCCTTCCAGATGCACTCCCGCCTCCCCTCCCCCTGCCTCTACCTCTCCCCCTGCCCCTGCCCCTGCCCCTTCCCCTTCCCCTTCCCCCGCCCCTGCCTGCCACCACCCGCACTGACTGCCTCGCCCCCCCGCCTCCCCCCCGCACCTCCCCCCTCCCTGCAGGGAGTGCCCCCGCCCCTGCTGTGCGCTTGCGTGTCTTCCTCTTTCCCCAGTTGGGCTCTACTTTCCAATTCCCCTGATCTTCCTCCTCCTCATATTCTTCATCTTCTTCCTCTTCCTCCTCTTCCTCCTCATCTTCCTCCTCATCTTCCTCCTCATCTTCCTCCTCATCTTCCTCCCCTTCTTCCTCTTCCTCTTCTTCCTCTTCGTTTTCCTCTTCCTCCTCCTCCTCGTCCCAGATTTCCTCAGCACCACCGGCCTGGGTGGGATGCACAACAACAGCATCACCACCTCGTGCTGCACCCACTCCCAGCCCAGCAGGTCTCAGCAGGGCAGGTCTTATTTGGGCAGGTCTCATCTGAGCGGGCCTGGACTGGGCGGGTCTTATCTGTGCGGGTCTTAACTGAGCAGCTTGGCTCACAGCATGTCGACTGTTGCTCCTCGTTCTCCTCCCTGGCGTGCTCTCCGCACCCACCTCTGCCACCACATTTTCCTCTTCTTCCTCCTCTGATCCAATCTCCTCCATCACTTCCTCCTCCTCATCCTCCTCCTCCACCTCCTCTACCTCCTCATCCCCCTCATCCTCCTCCTCCTCCACCTCCTCCGCATGTTCCACCTTTGCCTCCCCTCCCTCCTGCGCCTGGGCGAGAGCGTGCTTCTGCAGGGTCTGTGCGGCCTGGGTGCGTTGAGCCTCCATGCGCTGTGCCACACACACACACACACACGAGCGCACACACAAACCACAGACATTGACATAAAATTAGCAAAGTTTCCACACCCAATGCAGCAAAGAGTCACGCTCATGGTGCCTCTCTTCACACAACAGTCACATGCCCTCTGCCCCCTGCCCCCTCCCCCTTCCCCCACCCCACTGCCCCCTGCCCCCTGCCCCCTGCACCCTGCCCCCTGCCCCCTGCCCCCTGCCCCCACCCCCGTGCCCCCTGCCCCCTACCCCCTGCCCCCTGCCCCACACACAGCAGCGCACCTGTTTGAGCTGCGACTTGGTCACTCCACGCAGCGCTGCACACGAGCTGCCCGCACTGCCGCCCCCGCTGCCGCCCCCACCACCACCCGCTGCAGACGCGCCAGCACCACTCGCACCAGCAGCAGCATCGGCACCACCAGCAGCATCAGCAGCAGCATCAGCAGTAGCAGCATCGGCAGCAGAGGGTTTTCTGAGGTTAATTTTGAGTTTGAGCCCGTTTCCCCCCACAGGAGTAATGGCACTCTGCCCGCCCCTCACTGCCAACACGCCCTGCTGCCCCCTCCCATGCCCACTGCCTTCCCCCCCTCCATGCCCGCCCCCCGCCTGCGAGCCATGCGGCCACTGGTGGCCGTAAGGTGCAGTGGCCAGGCTTCTAGAGGCGTGCCCCACCCGCTTGTACTGCTCCACGTCCTCCTCCTCCTCATAATCCTCTTCCTCATCCCCGTCCTCACCTTCCTCCTCTTCCCCTTCCTCCTCTTCCCCTTCATCCTCCTCTTCCTCATCCTCTTCCCACTCATCTTCTCCTTCTCCCTCCTCCTCCTCATCATACTCCTCCTCTTCTTCCTCGCCCGCAGCAAACCTTCTCTTCCGCGCACCACTCTCCTCCTCCCAAGGTTCTACATCCCACTCCCCCTCCACCTCCACCTCCTTCCCTGCACGCCTCACACGCCCTCTCCCCCTGCCTCCCCGGCCTCCACCTCCCCTCGCCACCTTGCATGCCCTGCCCCTCCCCCCTCTCCCCTTTTTCATCCCCTGCCCTTGGCCCCCCCCCTTCCCCTTCCCCATTCCACTCCCCTTGTCGCGCCCACTCCTTGTAACCATCCGCCTCCCCCGCTGCTCCCGCACCTCCTCAACCCCCTCGTCCTCCTCATCCCCCTCGCCCTCCCCTGCCCTCCCCCATCGCCGCCTCCTCTTCCCCAGAAGCCTCCGTGACCGTCTTGTGCCCTGCCCATCCTCCTCCTCCCCCTCGCCCTGCCCACCCTCCTCCTCCTCCTCCTCCGTCTCCCCCTCCTGCTCCTCCTCACTCCCTCCGCGCCTCTCCTCCTCCCCTCCGCTCACTTCATACTCTGAGTCCTCCTCTCCCCTCTCCTCCTCGCCCCTCTCCTCCTCCCCCCCCATGGTCACTTCAAACCCCTCATACCGCCTCACAGGTAGCCTCTCCCTCAGCTCCCACCGCTGGCCTTCCCGCCGCCTCACCTCTCCTCTCCCCCTCCCTCCATCACCCCCCCCTGCAACACCCCCCTCTCCCCCGCCCACCCTCCCCTCCTCCCCCTCCTCGCCCCCACTCACCACCTGCACCTCCCCATCCTCTTCCCTCCTCCCCCTTCCTTCCTCCCTCCTCACGCCCTCCCTCCGCCCACCTCCCCCGCGCCCGCCACCGCCAGCAGCAGCAGGCAGGGGCAGGAGGGGCAGGGGCGCAGAGCCGGGGGCGCCAAGGGGCTCGTTGGGGACGGGCTGAAAGGCCAGGTCGTCGGCCTCTATGCGCCCCACCCGGAGCGGGAAGGAGGGGGGGTGGTAGGGGCGCGCGAGCAGGGCGAAGCGCAGCGCGTGGAAGCGCGCCTGGTAGGGGTCGGGGTACGGCTGCATGCCCGCATCGCATATCGGATCCATCCACGTGCGCTCCTCCGTTAACACGTTCGTCTCCTGGTGTGGGGGGTGGGGCATGAGTGGCCATTGGGTGCGCGGATGAGATGGGAGGCAAGAGAGGGAATGGAAGTGGGAGAAGCAATACGAGCAAGAGCGGGAGTGCAGGGGAGAGTGGGAGGGAAGCAGGAGTGCAGGCGAAAGCAAAAGTGCAGGCAATCGGAAGTACAGGGGAGTGCATGAGTGCAGGCAGGCATGAGAATGCACCTCATCGAGGGCGTTGTGGAATGAGTCGAGGGCGAATCGACGATAGTCGCCCAGGAAGAACTAATGTGATGGTGCAGGGCAGGGCATGGGGGACGCATGAGGGGCACATGGGAGAACGAGAGGCAGTTTAGGATAGTGGGGGAAAGAGAGTGGACCCAGGACCGTTTGAGAAGGACGAAGAGGGCACACAATGAAGGACACGAAGTGTGTGGGCATGGCAGAGAGGCATGGCACAGGGCATGTGGCCATGGTACCTGATCCATGTGGATGTGCGCCCACCTGGTCCATGTGGATGTGCGCCCACCTGGTCCATGTGGATGTGCGCCCACCTGGTCCATGTGGATGTGCGCCCATTGGTCCTTGCCCCCCGTGGCAAACACATACACCTGCCCCACCTCGTCCGCCACCACCAGCCCCGTGCCGTCCCTGTCACCCATGCATGCACACATGCATGCATATGGCCGTGGGGGGAAAGAGCGTTGTGCATGGGCATGGGGTTGGGAGGGACGCACATGGGCATGGAGGAAATAGGGACGTGTATGAGCATGGGTGGAAAGAGGGACCAGCAGCCATGGGTGCCTGGGGGGGGGGGAAGTGCAACAAATCAGTAGACGATGGGTGAATGGGAGAGCGCACGAGATACTCGAGGCTGGATGGGGCTGGATGGGGCTGGATGGGGCTGGATGGGGCTCGATGGGGCTGGATGGGGTCGGATGGGGCTGGATGGGGCTGGATGGGGCTGGATGGGGTCGGATGGGGTTGGATGGGGTTGGATGGGGTTGGATGGGGTTGGATGGGGTTGGATGGGGTTGGATGGGGTTGGATGGGGCTGGATGAAGCAGACAAGTTGCTGGAGAGCAGCAGCAGCCGGAACAGGGGCGCACACGACGGGAGGCACCAAGGGGGGCCAGGCGCACAAAGGGACTTACGGAGAGAAGTGCCCGTCGACGAGTTGGAAATTGGTGACGTGGCGGATGGCAATTGGCTGTCCCTTCCAGATGTCCCACACGATAACCCGGCCATCGTACCCCGCGCTCATGGCAATGCGCGGGTCCGTGGGATGCACGTCCAGCACGAACGCCTGATGGGGGCGGGGGGAGGGAGGCGCGTAGCAGCGGATGGGAATGATTCGAGACGCCTCAAACTCGATGGGCGGGTGTACGGGATGGACGTTCGACAAGCACGTGTGAGGGGGCAGTGGGCATGGGGAAAGAGGACGGCAGGGGTTGTGGAGTGCATGCGAGGAAGGCAGGGGTTGTGGAGTGCATGCGAGGAAGGCAGGGGTTGTGGAGTGCATGCGAGGAAGGCAGGGGTTGTGGAGTGCATGCGAGGAAGGCAGGGGTTGTGGAGTGCATGCGAGGAAGGCAGAAATGGAGGTAGAGAGTGGGAGGGTCGGAGCCTCTTCAAAGCAACCACCCACCCGGACCTTAGTGTGCGTGTCTCACCCTCTCACCTGCTCATGCCTGTGTGCGTGTGACCCCTCACCTGCTCCTGGTGTGCTGTGAGGCAGTGTATGAGCTCGCCTGTGCTTGCCTGCCACACACAGATGCGCGCATCTGCCATGCATGGGGGGAGGAGAAGGACAGACGCACGGGCAGAGATATGAGCAGAGGAAGAGTGTGAGACTCTGGGACTAAGTGAAGAAAGGCTGGGTGGAGAGATGAGGAAAGATACAACAGGCGAGGCAGCAGCGCCTTCTGCTACACACACACACACGCATCTCTGCTGCAGCTATTCCTGCTGCCAACCAGCAATGGCATGCCAGCTCCCAAGGGCGCACCTGTGAGGGCAGCCAGCACGAGCTGGCAGTCGAGCGACCAGATGATCATATTCGCCGCCGCCCCCGCCGCATCCCTCGCCCTCGCCCTCGCCCCTGCCCTCCCCCCGCCCCCTGCGCCCTGCCCTGCTGCAGCCCCCGCGGGCACAGGCAGGGGGCGCGGGGGGGCGGTGAGCTGCAGCGCCTTGTGCCAGTGCTGGTGCTTGCCCTGGGGGGATGGGGACACAGGGGGGGGAGGTAAGCGGGAAGAGGATGAGAGAGAGAGAGAGAGAGAGAGGCAATGAGAGACGATGAGAGGTGAAAAAGGAACAAGGAGTGGAAGTGACGGGGTTGATGGAGTGAAGGGCAGGCTAGCAAGCATGCGTGCACGCAGGGGACGGGGATGGCAAGTGCCTCATGTGCGCTGTGAGAGCACATGGATCCGTCACCGCCTTTCAAGCCACTCACATGCACGCGGCGCGCCCGCGGGCGCCAGATGAAGGCGGAACCGTCTCGCGCACACGACACTATCGCCTCCACTCCCCCCCGGTTGGCCGTGCTGCCATACCATGGGGTGGGGGGGTGGAGAGACGGGGAGGAACGGGGAGGGAGGGGAAGATGAGGGTGAAAGAGAGAGGACAAATGGGTTTGGGGAGATGGGAAGCAGGTGGAGAGGGGTGTGAGAGATGGGTGAGAGTGGCAGGCGAGATGAGGAGTGGTAGTGAGAGGGCAAAGCGCAGATGGGGAGCGGTAGTGAGAGGGCATGGTGCAACTAACAGGGCATGCGGGGCTCACTTGAGGGAGATGAGTCGCCTCTCCTTGTCCTTCTCCTTTCGCTTTCCCCCCTCCGCACTTCCTTTCCCCTTCTCCCCCACACCCCTCCCCTCCTCGTCCCCACCAGACGCCACCTCCTGCTGCACTCCCGCACACCCACTGCAGCGCAAGGGGGGGAAGAGGGGGCAGGGGACGGGAGGCAGGGTGCATGGAGAATGGAGCACGAGCAGAGAGGGGGGCAATGGAGGCTTGTGTGGTGAAGAATGAGAGAGAGAGAGAGAGAGTTGTGGCAATCAAGTTTAGAGGGGCCGGCAGGCAGGCAGCAGGCAGCAGGAGGGGCGAGGAGGTGAGAGCAGGAGAGGGGAGTGGGGCGAGCACCTGAACTGCACGAAGTTGACTGACCCCTGATGCCCCAGCAGCTCCTGCACCTCGTGCTGCACCCCCACTCTCTCCCGGCCCCCCGCACCCACCCCCGCCGCCCAAGGCCCCTGCTGCTGCTGCTGCTGCTGCTGTTCCTGCTGCTGTGGCTGCTGTTCTTGTTGCTGTTGCACCTGTTGTGGTTGCTCTTGCTGTTGTTGTTGCTGCTGCTGGGAGGGCTCCTTGGGTGCGAGGGCAGGGAGGCGCGCATCCCACACCTGAGCACAAGGCATACACGCACATGCACATGCACATGCACATGCAGGGCACCACAACAAAACATGTGATTTTGTGACACCGCATGGCAGTGAATATGATGACATGAAACGGCAACAACCGGGCGAATTAGCATCACATGCTCACCCGCGTGCGCCCATCCTCGCTGCCCGTGACAAACAGCGAGCCCTCGGCGTTGAAGGCAGCGCACAGCACTTTGGGGGGCAGCATCTTGGCCCGCTCCTCAGGAGTGAGCTCGCTGCCCCCCTGCTGGATGCGGCTCAGAAACGTCCCTGGCGGGAACGGGATCTTGGTTGCTGTTGGGCCATGGGCCAGGGGATGGGAGGAAGGGGAGGGGGAGGGGAGGGAGGGGAGGGAGGGGAGGAGAAGGGAGGGGAGGGGAGGGGAGGGGAGGGGAGGGGAGGGGAGGAAAAGGGAGGGGAAGGGAGGAGAGGGGAGAGAGAGACGGTTGAGTTATGGAAGCGAGTGCAGAGGAGCAAGTGGGCGTGAGATGAAATGGGGTGGCATGACTCATGAGGCAGTGAGTGGGACTGGCCGGAACTTTTGAGAGGGAAACACACAGCAGTGAGAGCAGGGGGGAGCAGGAGTTGAGGGTTTAGGAGCAGAGGGTGGGAGCAGATGGCAGAATCCTGGTGGCTGCATGGCAAAAGCAGGGAGGGGAGAGGAGGGAGGGGAGGGGAAATCGGAGGGGGGGAGGGGAGGAAAGGGGAGGGGGGGGAGGGGAGGCGAGGGGAGGGAGAGGAGGGGAGGGTAGGGGAGAAGACGGCGATTCGGGGAACGGGGATTCGGGGAACGGGGATTGGGGGAACAGGGAACGTGGAATAAGGTGGCACGAGGCAGTGGGGACGGCTGTGGACTTGTGAGTCGGAAACATCAAGCAGTAAGAGCAGAGGGTGGAGCAGAGAGGCGGAGTAGAGTGAAGGGGCAGAGGTGGGGAGCAGAGGTGGGGAGCAGAGGTGGGGAGCAGAGGTGGGGAGCAGAGGTGGGGAGCAGAGGTGGAAGTACCGTGGGAGGCAGGCAGGAAGAGGCGCAGGCAGGTGCTGTCCGCTGCTGCTGTGACGTCCCACAGCCGGCATGAGCCATCCTCCGATGCCCTGATGAGCGCCATGGGCATTGATGGGGAGGATGTGCGGCGGTTAGTGAGAGTGTGAAGGTCGAACAACACACAAGAGGAGGTGAGAGTGTGAAGGTCGAACAACACACAAGAGGAGGTGAGAGTGTGAAGGTCGAACAACACACAAGAGGAGGTGAGAGGAAGGGGGGGTGGTGGAGAGGACAGGGCGGGGGGGGTAGGAGCGAGAGAGGGAGATCACACAAGAGCACATGTGATGCTGAGAGAAACAAGGTATGGACGGATGGGAGATGGAGGTGTGGACGGGTGCATAGGAGAGGGGCAGGAATTGTGGCTGGCAGGGCGTTGAGAGGGGTGGCGTACGAGAGGAGGTGGTGGTGAGTGGTGGGGCTGAATGCGACAGCGGTGACGGCGTCTGCATGGCCCACTAGCGTCACCTCCAGATGCCCACTCGGTAGCTCCCACTGCCACACGCACGGGGGGAGGTGGGACAAGGAAAGTGGGTGGGAGGTCGATGAGGCGAGGAGAGGAGGGATGGGAAAGACAGCAGCGAGTGTGCGGGGGAGGATGAGGTGAGGGGGAAGGCGGTTTGGGACGGAACAACAGTGGATGTGTGGGAGGTGGTAGCAACCAGGACAAGGAATGGCGATAGGGCAGGGACAGGGAGAGTGGTGCGGGGGGGAGGGCGGGCGGCACTGACCACGCGGATGAGGCAGTCGTTGGACGCTGATGCCACCCACTTGTCGCCCTGACTGACCGCTAGATCCGTGATGTCACCCTGTATGTACGTACACACACACACGCACACAAGCACAGAGGTGCAGACGCAGGCCACGTCAATCCAGGCAAACATGACAAGTGCACACATGCAGAGGGCGAGGGGAAACGTTATGGGCGCATGGAGGGGGGGGACTTGCCGTGTGGCACAGAAGGGGGGGCGAGGACTTACGGTGTGGGCGCGGCAGGTGGAGAGGCAGATGCCATGGTGCATGCTCCAGATCTTCACGAGGCGGTCGTCCGACCCCGTTATCAGGTACCGCCCCCCGTGGTCGTACACCGCTGCCAGAGGAACGGACAAGGATACACAGCCAACGCGGGGAAGTGGAAAGAAGGACGCGGGTGTTGAGAGGAATGGGTGGTGTGTGTGCGTGCAGTTAGGTCGGGAGCAATGAGTGCCAGCAGCGTGAGGCGCGAGTGTGTAAGTAGGGCAGTGAGAGCAAGCAGGCAAGGGGGGCAGTGAGCACAGTTAGGGCGAGAGAGGGGGGGGGAGAGGGCAGTTACCGCAGTAGACGGCGTTGCGGTGGCCGCGCAGCACCTTCACTTGCTCCATGCGGCTCAGCAGCAGCGCGGGGGACGCCACTAGCGACGCCGCCCTGCTCTCACCAACGGGGCGGGGGAGAGGGAGGGAATAGGGGAATGATGGAGGGATGGGCGGGCGGGTGGTAAGATGACACAACGGGCGGACAGAGCGGGGCAAAGGGTTGTGGTGGTGGGGTGAGAGGTGCAGTGGCAAGGCCCACGCGGAGGGTACCATGCAGAAAACGTACCGTGCGCTGACAGCCCTGGCAGCACGCGAGCAGACCCCTCCGCCCGTTTCTCTGAGCGTGAGGGAGCGCAGGAGCGGTGCAGAGAGGTGCGGATGGGCCGTGTGGGGCAGAAAGGTGCGCGGAGGAGAGAGCAGCGCTGGCAGCCACTCCGCTGTTGATGGGAGGCGGATAGGGCCGGGGAGGGCGATAAAGCAAGCAGGGGTGGAAGTGGAAGCGATGAAGGGAGCAGGGTGGGGCGGGGAGTGGGGAAAGACAGAGAGGAAGTGCAGCAGTGAGGATGTGAGGGAGGGAGGGAGGGAGGGAGGGAGGGAGGGAGGGAGGGAGGGAGGGAGGGAGAGAAGGCATTGGCTCATGTGTGGCAATGGCATGCACATGTGCCGATTGCCCCAAGCCTCAATCCGCGCGTACCTCGTCTCAGGCTTATCCCGCCATGGCCCAGCAGCGTTGGCACGTCTCCCGCACACACCCACCACCTGTCCCGTGCTCCTGCCACGCCCGCCCCCCCGCTCACCAACACACCCTCCCCGCTTGCACCCTTCTCACCCCACTCGCCCCTCTCTGCCCCGGCCGCTGCTCCCACCACCGTTGCCGGCGATGCCAGCACGAGCGCTCTGCTGCCTGCCGCATCTGCTGCTGCCACCACTGCTAACGCTGCCCCAGCTGCTTCGCCACCTGCTGCTGCCGCCACGCCTGCTTCAATGGCCCCTGCTGCTGCAGCAGCCTCTGTCCCGCTTCCCAGCATCTGTGCCACAGCCGCACCTACTGATCTCTCTGCTGCTGCCTCTGTGCCACCTACCTGCCGCCCTGCCTCCACGCCACGGCCGGCGCTCACATCCATAGCTGCAGCGGCGGCTGGGGCTGCGGCACCTGGCAAAGCCTCCTCTAGTGCAGTGGCGGAGGCGGAGGCGGAAAGGGGGGCGGCGGTGATTTGAAGTGGGGGGGCAGAGGGAGGAGCAGAGACGGTGGGTGCAACAGCTGCTGCAGCAAGCGGGGCAGGAGGGAGGGCTGGTGCTGCTGACGGTGGCGGGTGGGGCGGAGAGGAGGAGAGAGGCGCGGAGGGGAGGAGGGAGGCGGAGGAGACGGCGAGATGGGACGACTGCAGCAGCTCCTGCAGCAGCAGGAAGAGGTGGTTGGGTGCTATGTGCGAATACCTGGAGGGAGCAGCACAGCGGGGCATGCACACACAGACAGCAGGTGGGAGGCACAGGGCAGGGTGAAATGACCGAGCGGAGGCATATGGTTGCCCATGAACACAATAAAACAAAGACTTGCTGATTGTGCGGTCACCCAATGCAAGGTGCCCAAGCATTACAGGCGCGCACCTCTCCCTGAGCTGCTCGTAGTTCATGGGTACAGTCATCTCCGACTCCCTCTCCGCACCCCCTCCCCTCCGCCCACCCTCCCCACCCTTCACTTGTGCGCCCACCACCCCCGCCTCCCCATGTGCACTCCCCTCGCTGCCACGCTCGTTGCCTCTGCCACCCGGCCGCCCTTCGCTCGCGCTGCTTGCGCCTGTCCGCCTCCCCCCACGGGAGTACACCGCATGGTACCGCTGTGGAAGCAGATTCAACTCCTCCAGCTCCTCTTTCAAAACTTCCGCTGCCCGACGGCACGGGCTGCCCGTCAAAAAGTGCAGAATGAGGAAGTACACTTCCCTCATGTCCGCTTCAGCGTCCCCTCCCGCTGCCGCCGCCAGCGCCATCATAGCGCCACGCGACGGTAGACTTGCTGCTCTCTGATTGGCTAACGACCCTGCCGCGTCGTTGGATGGCGGCTGTGCGCGCTTGCGCCCGCCAGCGACGGGAGGGCGGCGGGTGGACGCGGGAGGGCGCGGGTTTGCCCCGGAGGAGCGCCCGTTGGCGGAGGCGTTGGCAGCGCGCGCGGTGCCACGTGGGGCAGGCGGGGCGGGAGGAGCGGAGGGGAGGGGAGGTGTGGCAGAAGGAGGGATTACTGGGGAAGACTCGGTGGTGGGGAAGGTAGAAGCGGCGGGGGTAGTAAGGGCGGGGTTAGGAGCAGGGGAGGTAGGAGCAGTGGGAGTAGGAGCGGGGGCACTAGGAACGGTGCGAATGGGAGCAGGGGGATTAGGAGCAGCAAGAGTAGGAGCGGGGGCGAAAGGATTAGGGGCCGGGGAGGTAGGAGCGGCGAGAGTAGGAGCAAGGGGAGTAGGAGCGCTGGGGGTAGGAGCGGAGAGGGTAGGGGCGGAGGGGGTGGGAACGGGGGGAGGCGAGTGAGCTGGAACCGAGGCGAAGGCTGCGCTAGAAGCGGGGCTTGGGAAAGGAGCGGATGCGGGGAGAGTGGGTGCGGGGGGAGTGGGTGCAGGTGGGTAAGTGGGTGCGGGAGGGGAAGAGGTGAGAGATGAGGTGACGGCAGGCGCAGAGGAAGCGGCGGAAAGTTTGGGGAGGCGAGAGTCGCGGAAGAGTGTCGCGTCAGCGTCGCACAGGGTTATGCGCGGGCCCGGTGCGCCCGCTGCACTCGCCGCGGGTATGACTGCTACCTCGGCAGTCGGGTTGGCGGAAGGCGCCCAGGCAGGTGGTTGGGAGAAGGAGCCAGGCGCGCGGACGGAAGGCGGGCGGAGGGCGGAAGCAGGGGGAGCAGCGCGGGCGGCAGGGGGAGCGGAGAGAGAGGCAGCAGCTGGACCTGACGGCATGGCGGTGAGGAGAGCGCTACACGCAGCAGCTTTAGCAGCTGTAGCAGCTGTAGCAGGCATGCTGCCACTTGGCGAACCGTGTGTGAAAACACCCGCATTGTTCCTCTCTGCCTCCTGCATAAGCAGACTAAGCACGCGCGTCTGCGATTCCGGATCCAAGGACGAAAGCGCGGGAACAGGCGCAGGATTTGGAGCATACGCAGCAGCCGACGCGGAAGCAGGAGGTGACGGTACCCCAATCATGCGAGACCCCACGCCATTCAACCTCTGCGGTGGAGCGGCGGGTGACGCAGCTGCAGGGCGGGAGTGGACGGTGGGCGCGGCGGCAACGGCGGAGGGACCGCCCACCGCGTTAGCCGTCGAGGAAGCAACGTGGAATTGAGAACCCGCGGAAGGCGCGGAAGGAGGGGAAGGCGCGGAACGGGCGGAAGGAGCGGAAGGAATGGACGGAGCGGGCAAGCAGGCGGCGGCGGAGGCTTGTAAGAAGGGAGCGGTTGCGCCTGATTGGTTCACGTTCTCCTGGCTCTGCCGCGGCCGAATCGGATGGATTGCCGATGGACCTGACACTCCGACGACCTGACGGTTGAACGCAGTGTTCGGCGCCGAAAGACCCACTTGACCGTTAAAAGCAGCCTGCCCGTCAGGAGCACCGAATTGCCCGCCGTGAGCAGACGGCATGTGGTTTCCATTACGGGCAAGAGCGGCGGTGTTTCGAGGGCCAGAATTCACGGCGTTAGCAGCTGGAGCGTGCAGAGGCAACGAGGAGGGGTGCATAGGCGGCGTGCCCGCTGGCTGCGCGGCCGACAGCGGATATTGCGAGTTCTGAGGAAACGGCGGCTGCGGCGGATAGAACGATTGGTTTTGAAACGGCAAAGACGAGGACGAGAGTGGGGCGGACGTGGGGCGCGACGAACCCACGTTGAGATGAGAAAAACGCGCGTCAGGCGCCGGTTGCGAGCTATGCTGGAGCGACGCGTACGAGGCTTCGTTAGTGTAAGCTAGTGAGTTAGACGCTATGAAGTGAGCCATCTGAGAAGAAGAATACGGGTTACTGTTAAGGTATCCCGCCGATAGCGGCGGTGCTTGCTGGTTGAACTGAACGGTCTGTGGGTGCGACATTGCGGCGGGAAGGGAGGGACGAATGGCGGATGAGGAGACGAGTGAAGGCGAATCGGAACTAGAGGTGAGAGGAGGATGAGTAGTCGTGCTATGGTGATAGCTCGTATGTGTCAAGTTATTCATGGGTGGAATGGCATCCGAAGACCAATTATGATCCTCTTTTATGTCGCTAAAATTAATAGGGTCCATTGCCTCGGACCTACCACCCTTACGCTCGAGACACAGACCTTCGCCTCACCGCAGATGCTGCTGCTCGGGAGCAGCGAGGGAAGCAAGCAGCAAGTGCGGAGCGGACGGACACCAAACACCCATGACCATGGTGGTTTGATTTGGAAACTTGAATTTCAAACGAACACACTTCAAGGGACTAGCAAAGCAAACCACTGTTGCTTGCCTGCTGCTGCTAGCGACTAGGCGAAGCCCGTTCCCACCTGGTAATTTTCGCGACGGTCGCGGGGACGAAATGCTGGATGATGGGCATGAGCAGAGGTGGGCTTGAATTCCAAGCACGTGCTTGCGATATTTCGCAAAATGGTAACAATTCGCAAGGCGCTGAGAACCAACTGACGTGCTCTGCCGCATCCAACCAAAGCCGTCAGCCCCAGCCAGACCCCAGCGCAGAACAACACTACCGCCAGCCGACATAACACCAGGCATTGCGGGAACCCTAACTTTTCGCGCTGCGAACAAGGAATCTTAGGGCGAACAAGCCAGCCATGGCGGAGCCATTCACTCGCTCCGTGTCGCAGCTCGTCTGCGCTCAGATTTGCGAGTCTTTCGGCTTCCAGTCCATCCAACGGTCAGCGCTCGAGACCCTGTCCGACATCCTGACTCGCTTCATCACCAGCGTTGGCGACGCCGCACACGCGCACGCGGAGCTCGCAGGGCGAACCGACGCTAACGCCAACGACGTCGCCCTTGCGTTATCCGACGTCGGCACGTCGCTCGGCGATCTCGCTCGCTTCGTCGAATTCGCGGACGACATCTCGTCGCCATCGTTGGCGCAAGCCGTCCCGTCCTTCCCCGTGCCCAGAAACCCGCGCTTCGTCGCCGCCAGTTTCCTTCAGAGCGGGGAGGATCCTCCTCCCCGTGGCGACATTCCCGAGTGGCTGCCGGCGTTACCGGACCCCCACACGTACATCGCCACGCCGGTGTGGGAGGCTCGGGGGCAGGATAAGCGGCAGGATCGGGTGGAGGAGGGGCGAGAGCGGCGGCGCGCTGAGCAGTCACTCGTGTCGCTGCACCAGCGCATGGGGATGGTCACGGCGGGCGGCGCGCAGGCGCGCGGTGGTGCTGGCGGCGGGCGGCTGCTGTGGGGCGGATGGTCTCACGTTGGCGCGGGGGACGACCTCCTCGCAAGGCCAGGCGCGGGGATCTCCGCGCCCGTGGCCACTGGTGCGGCGCCCGCAGTGCGCAACGACGAGGGCGCGGAGCGGGGCGAGGGGCGGAAGAAGCGGAGGAGGGAGTCAGACGGCGGGTGGGTAGCGGGTCAGGTTCCTTCCGCGCTGGATGCCTTCCCGGGACTGATGATGGCCGCGGGCAGGGCGCGGGGCGGGGGAGCAGCAGGTGAGGGGGGTGAGGAAAGCGAGGAGGAGGATGAGTTAGAGGAAATAGAGGAAAGGAATGGGGACGCGATGGCTGTGGATGGTGATATTGTGGTGGTGGAGGGCGGAGAGGAGAGGAATGGTGGTGGTGGCAGTGGGGCCGAGGGAATCCAGGCAGAGGGGAATAAGGGCGAGAGGGTGAAGGAGGTTGGTTGGAGTGGGTGGTCGGCAATGGAGAGGGCTTCAGGGGCGAGTGCTCCGGGGGTGTCGTTTCACCTAGGCAGCAAGATCAAGGCCAAGCTTGGAGCTGCCAGAATGCAGTTGCCTGTTGTGCTGAGGGAGGCAAAACCAAAGGCCGGGCAAGGTGGGAGTGATGGCATTGGGAAAGGCGAGGAGGACAAGGAGAGGAAGGGGAAGGAGAAGAGGGAAAAGGGGAAAGACGATGAGAGGGATGAGAAAAGAAAGAGGGCAGAACAGATACTGGAGCAAGCAGAGAGGGAGGCAGCAGAGGCAGGCATGGGAGATTGCAGATAGGAGTTAAGATTGTCATATTTTGTCAGTCTCTAATGAGGTTTGTTTGATGCGATTGTGGAAATAATGCATGTCGAATTTGTAAGAGTGATGTTATCATTGCCTTGCTTTGTCACGATGCGTGTAGAGATGTAGCATTATCAGTCCCAAAGCCGCCTACCCGCGTTTTCTTCACGTCTTGTCACGTCTCTGCAAGAAGTGTATGGCGCCCGTTGTGTCAGCGGGAATGGTGATGTGACAGGGTGCTCTCAAAGGCTCGATCCAAAAAGTGCTGACGCTGGCGAGGGAAGCCCGTCGTTTCGAGGAAGGCTACGGAAGTGTTATGTGCTTTCGAGGAACACCGTATCGTCGAATAGCGACAGAGTTGCTGACGCCAATCCCCTGCTCTAGGGCTACGACATCGTCTCCCACATCTCCGCTTTGTGAGGAAACGAGAGGCTTGCACGTCATGGCGTGTGATTGGTGCACACGAGTCACAACACAAGGCATCCTGCGTGCGCAAGCAGATTCCCTGCCATACGCAACCTCCCTTTTCCCCACCCCAACCCAAACCCCCTGTCATCAGCGAAAGAATGTGTTTTTCGTCCAATCATCGCTGGTCAGAGGGCCCTTTCGCGGAGACCGCGCAACCCCATTCTCCCTTTCGCAAATGACGCAAGCATGCCAATCAACGCACCGCACGACAGTTTCTTCTCTGCTTCCTCTCGACCCAACTCGCCGTGTGCTCTGCAACCAGACACGTGGTAGGGCGGGATGGATGAGACGAGAGTGATCGGTGGTGTCCGTTTGGCGTCCGACGCCAGCGGTGCTCAAAAGCGATCTAGACAGCAGCCATAGCGTCACTCAATTGCACTCGCACTCTCACTGTCAGACCATCACATTTGCAAGCTCCAGCCAGATTAAATTTCTCGGTCGTCGCTTCCATAGTTAGATCGTTGCACTTTAAACGACGATCGCGCATCTTCGGAGGTATTGTCCCTAGGTCGCCATTGTTCAGGGATATTTGTTGTACGAGTAACCTAATTCGACTGAATATGGGCGCCTGCGCTTCTACGGGTGGCCGCAGTCCAATCACGCCTTCCCCTGCCACCACCAAGCAGCATCGCAAGGCGGATCGCTCACAAACGAAGGCTAGCAAAAACGCGAAGCAGAATGCCTCGAATCGCCAATCAGTGTTAGGCCTGCCACCGTCAAATACACGACTCGAGAGCAATTATTTGATAGGTAAGCTGCTGCCTCGACACCATGTTTCAGCGCTTTGCGTCAGCGCCATGCATTGGAACCTTCTGTGTAGTGATTCATTGCGATCAGCTCGTCGCTAACCCGTTCCCTCGTCGTCGTCGTCCTGTGTGGCGCCCAATTTGCAAACCTCCAGGTCGCGAGATCGGCCGCGGATTGTACGGCGTGGTTCGCGTGGTGACGCACAGGAAGTCGCACGAGCGATACGCGTGCAAGACGGTCGACAAGCGTCGCATGTCGCAGGATCAGCTCGCACGACTCCGCACGGAGTTCGACATTCTCAAGCGCGTATCAACCCACCAATCCGTAGCGGCCCTTGTCGACCAATACGAGGACTCCACGTGCGTGCATTTCGTCCTGGAGCTCTGCACTGGAGGGACGCTGTACGATATCCTCACGACGGCCTCTATCGCGGATGATGCCTCCGCTGTAGATCACTCTGAGAGCAGCACCAGTCCTGCCGCTGCCACAACCAGCACACGCAGCAGCAGCGGAAGCACCGCCAGCCGCAGCAGTAGCAACGCAAGTGGGAGCGCATCGTCGAAGCGGATGAGCGAGGCGCAGGCGAAGCAGGTGATGCGGCAGCTCGCAGAGGCGGTGGCGCGGCTGCACGCGGAGGGCGTGGTGCACCGCGACCTGAAGCTCGAGAACATCGCTTTCATGGATGCGCGGGACGCCAGGGAGGGCGCGTCGCACCCTGACGGCAGCACACACCATGGCTCGACCAGCAGCCGCAGCACAAGCACAAGCCGCCATTTCCCCAGCATAGGCAGCGCCAGCAGCTTGGTCTCTGATTTGAGTGGCAGTGAGGCCGACAGCGACTGCACGGGTTCCCTGGCGTCCTCCTCTGCGCCCTGCTCCCCCGCCTTCTCCGCGCCCTGCCCTCCCCTCAAGCTCCTAGACTTTGGTCTGTCCACGTGGCACAAGTCAGCAGACGGGCAGCGGCTGGCGGAAATTGCGGGGACGGCGTATTATGTGGCGCCAGAGGTGCTGAGGAAGCAGTACGGCAGCGAGTGTGACGTGTGGAGCATGGGGGTCGTTCTTTACATGATGCTTACTGGATCTCCACCCTTCTGGGATGGTAAGTTTCCATCATGATTTTTGCCCTCATGAAGTCATGGACTTCAGTTCCCTGTGCTCGTCACATCACTCAGTTTTCGCTGCTATTTTACTAAAAAAATGTGTTTCCGTCTTATTCCCAATGTTTGCAGTTTCGGAAGAGGCAATCTGCTCTGCCGTCTTGGCAGGCCACTATGACATGGTCAGTGCACTATGGCCGTCCATCTCACCTGCTGCCAAGGACCTCGTCAGGCGCATGCTGCAGACTGACCCGGTCAAGCGAATCACAGCAATTGAAATCCTAGGTAAGGGCTCTCCTCCCAGTGGGGACATGATTTCGCTGACATGGGAACGCACTAACTATTCTGGTGGCACTTTCGCTAATGTCAAACTCTGTTTTCATGTGCAGAGCATGAGTGGATCTCCTTCTAGAGCTCCAGCAATTTCCTGGTTTACAATGTGTGCAGGGGAGCTTTGGGCAAAGACACCTTTATCTCCTTAGAACAGGGCTTAGGATTATAATTCATTCATTCAATTGTACAGCCACCATGGAGTGGAGATTGCTAGTGTTAGTGTTTAGTTGGAGCCATGACAGCACGCAAGAACATGCATTACTCAGTTTTGTACACATGGACTTTCATTTGAAGTCTTTCACCATCTACCTCATGTACTTCACATGATAGTGCATAACTGAGGCTTGGAACTCTTTATCTTGATGATTACGCACCCTCCATTTCTCGGATCTTCCATACATTCTAGCTTTTCCTTCTCCGCCCACTCCATCACCCTCGGCTTTATTCTGGCTTGCGATTCCGCAGCTAGGTCCCTCGCACGTTGCGCGTGGGCCCATGCCTCTTCTCTTAGGCGGTTCCCGCGATCTAGTGCTGACTCAGGAGGCTGTGTGGAGAATAGGTTACCCATTTACACAGCGAAGGACGAGATTACGGAAATTGAACAACGCGGTCGATTTGGTCGAAGCGTCTACTAAAGCAAAATAGGAAGTTTATGGTTCATCGCAGCAGCCAAAGCACGAGAACGCTTGTGGAAAGGTCGCTGCCACGGGAAAATTGCCCAGATTATAATGAAATAATATTTACGGAAAATCGCTTTTCACCCATCCGAACAGCTGGAATACTCTTCCCCCTCCCCCAAAGCAGCCTTTTCGAACTTGATGGTGTGGCAAGCGAAAGAGTCAGTGGCCATCTTGTGCTGTCATTGGTGGCGACGGCAACGTGTCGAATGCACGAGCAGGAATGTTCCTATGTCGTGATTACCCTGTTATCGTCGTCATTTCCTCGTGCGCTTGTGATCGGTGCGTATTGGCGAAACTCATTGGTCGTCACGTGAAGCGACGGGTAACCCTTCTCCGTTGAAGTCCATGCTTTGCTGAGATTCCACCATCTTCAAAATCGTGGGGTGTGAGATTTTGAAATCCCACGAACGTCCCTCGAAAACAGTGGCTTCTGTTCACGAGCCTTCATTGAACGGACAGCGTCGAAAGCGGACAAAACCAGGCCGCGTTGTCCCGTCAACCTGAGCTTTTGCAGCCTTGACAAGCCAACCCCCAGAGAACAGCGAAACGACGCTTGACACCGTGCCTAACCGCAAAGCCTGAAGCCCAAACCTTTTCCCCTTTCCCGAGCTTCATATAGTGGCTCAACAAAGCGGCGGGTCTACTCCGGGAACACCGCTAGACCGAACGTACAGCCATCCCGAGGTTGTCTTGGTGCCTTCGCCAATGGCAAGACTGCCAAACCAGAACCACACAGCTTTGCTACGCAGTCAAGGGCACACGGCGAACCCGAAGGCCCCGATTGTGGTTTTCTTGAGATGATCGTCCAGGGCAGGCACGACGATGCTCTCTGCGGCGCGGTGACCTGCGGCCCGTGGTCGCCGAATTTGCTTGAAAGGTGACACACGCACCTCCTCCACCCAGCTTTCATTCCATCCTCCCCCACACTTTCCTCGCCTCCCCGCTGTAAAGCCCAACCATTCGTCCCACCCACCCAACCCACCACCAGCACCGCATACTTTTCAGTTCAGCTCACAAGCTGCTTCTTCCATCCACATGGACCGCAATACGCGGCATCCCGACAAGGAGCATTATCAGCTGCTCTTCAGCAATTGACTTTCAGTCTGATGAATTCTATTGATGTTTCCACCAGCCACTGCCAGTTGCTTCAAGCACAGCGTTGAAAGTTTCTGAACTTACGCGAATGAGGCAGGACTCTAGCTCACAAATCTCAACTTCTCCACCCTGAACCCCTCATGGGTTACCTAGACTCCATTCTTAGCTCAGACACAGACACAACGATGGAAACTGCTGACATCGGTAGTGGACGATCTAGCTGGTCTCGCGGGCCGTTGCTCGGGCGAGGCTCGTTCGGACGAGTGAACATCGGATTCGACAGCGCCAGCGGACAGCTAATCGCAGTCAAATCCGTTCGTGTTACCAGCGACAACTCTCACGAGCTCCACGCGTTGGAGAACGAATACGAGATTCTGCAGCGGCTTGATTCTCCCAGTGTCATCAAATGCTTTGGAGCTGATTGGTCCATGGAGGACGGTGTTCCCACGAGAAACCTCCTCTTAGCGCTGGCATCTGGGGGCAATCTCGCAGAACTGGCTTCTTCAACGGACTCCGGAAGCGGCTTATGCGAAGCTGATGTTGCTCGTCACGTCAGGGGTGTCGTCGAGGGTTTGAGCTACATCCACCAGGAAGGCGTGGTTCACTGCGACCTGAAAGCTTGCAACGTCGTCCTGGGTGACTCATGCGTGGTTCTCGTCGACTTCGGCCTCTCTCTACAAAGACGAGAACCAACTGATTGTCAGGAAGCTGATAGCAGTCATGAGATGGATCGGAAAGAAAAGCTCCGAGGAACGCCGTGCTGGATGGCTCCTGAAGTCGTGGTAGGAGGAGAGATTGGGCCGGCGTGTGATGTGTGGTCGCTCGGATGCACGGTAATAGAGCTACTCACTGGGAAGCCGCCATGGTCGTCTCAATGCGCCGACCCAATGTCCGTGCTGTACAAGCTTGGATGCACCAGCGAGCTCCCTGAAATTCCGGAAGATGTGTCTCCATATTGTTATGACTTCATCAGCAAATGTCTTTGCCGGGACCCGAAGCAGAGGCCGACAGCAGCTGAGCTTCTTACGCATGCTTTTCTTTCTCTTCAAAATGCAGTCCCTCAAATGCACAGCACCCAATCCCAGCTCGCGTCATCTCCACCGGTCACGGAAATTACCAGCGACAGCCATCTACACGTGGACATGCCATTGTCACCCATGGCGGTTGATCCTGACGAAGACCTGAATTTGAACCTCACGTGCTGCAAAATGGTGGACGATCTGTGCGCTCTCTTCCCACCAACTCCCTCTCCCCGCCTCGTCTCTCCCCTCCACGTGGTTGCACAGGAGTGGGGTTCTCACAGTCGGCCATCACATCACCCAACTCCGACCACCGCAGCGCATCCACCTTTTGGTTCCACGGATGAGAGAGTACGGAGCAATTGCCGTCCCAGAAAGCCATCCATCAGCGTTCCTGCAGAGGACGGTTCCTCGCTGGACAGACATACCAGCTCGGTTGGAGCTAGGAGCAATGCATGGGGTGCTCCTTCTCCTGCTTCAGAACATGGCAGTGCCCAACCGGAACTTTCCCCACCGGAGCTGGATCCGATTTCACCTGATGTACAGGAAGCATGCTCGTGGCAAGCTTGGGATGTGGAACGGCTGCACAAGTTTCTTGACTGCTGATTGTCATCACGCTGATGACTACATTCCCACATCATTCATTGTCCATTCACAGCGGACACCACTATACTCGTACTAATGCGCCATACTACCGTATCATTTGCAAGTGTATGTGAATTATTTGAGACATAGTGAATTGACTCATAGTGTTGTGCAAATGGATGAATAAGAAGCAGGCTAGACTCACACCTCTCCGTCCTCTACCATCTGCATCAAAATGTGCCTGATTGTCACCAATATACCCACACCATCTCCACATCACCTTCAAATCCATCCCACTCCATGCCACTTTCCACCCTCGTCAGGAATTTTTTTCTCCATCCCCTCTATTTTATCGTTCATGCCCGCCAATGGCAGAGACATGAGCCGTGCGATGGCCACTTTCGGACCCACCAGTAGCAGAGGCACTTCGGAAAGTTGAATCAATATAAGCAAGTTTGCTGGAGCACATACATGTATTATTGACGTAAACGAATGCAGCTATGCCATGAACTCTGCCTGCTTGGCATGGGCAAGCGTGGCAGAATGAATGGCATTGCCCCATCAGCTACAATACGTAACTCACAGACGCATCAGCTACGAAATCTGTATAGTTCCTAAACGCGTTGGAGCTGTACACTGGTCCTCCTGTGATGGAAGCAGCTCAGCCCAGCTGTCAGGGGGATAGTAGTCTCCTATGCAAGGTGGGCATTGACACAACGCGGGCCGATCTTGACCGTTCATACTCTGACGGGAACGCGGAAACCATTGCGCGGGACGAGCGCGAGTTAGCGCGAACGGAGTCTCTGCAGCAAACGGCACCTGTAATTTCCCTGCGGATGCGGCTGACGGCGCGGAGCGAGCGGCTCACACTTCCCCCGCTGCTGCCGCCGCTGCTACTCCTTTCGCACAGCCTCCGAGGTCTGTTCCCGTGCGATCGATTTTCCGAGCCGTCGCTGCTGCTGCGATTGCTAGAATCGGCCACGCGACGCCTGCTTCGCACACCGCCCGCCAGGTCATCGCAAGCAATGTCTCTCTTGCGACCACTCTCTGAGCCCTGCGACGAGAGGCTGTGAACGCTGCGCCAGGAACAGGACCACGCCGCGAGCTCGTTTCGCTCCGCCGCCTCCCAGATATTGTCCCCAGGCCGCCCGCTATCGTCTGAAACTGGTTCGATTGGATCAGGGTTTGAGGAGCATGTGGCTCGCGTGAAAGGTCTAAATACTCGACATCTGACGAATCGGTTCATCCTTGAGGCTGCGGCCGTGAGCCATCCGGAAGGGACGCAGCGAGGGGTTGACGCGTGCAGAGAAACTGGAGGTAGAAGTTCGTCTGAAGAGTCTGCTAATGAGGTGTCACGAGGGACCTCTCTGTCTGCGGATGGGAAACTTACCCTGAGATCGCGTCGGGCTTTCATTCTATACGACTGTTAGCTATGCTGGAAATGCAAGGTCTCGAATCAGAGGTGGATGGTCTAAAAGAGGAATTGCAAGAATTGTAAAGAGGAAATGCGAAAATGCATTTGATTCAGAGCGAAATGCCGTTTGTTTCGTAAACATATGCCCCCCTCAATCCCTCCCCGAACAGCACCGAACAGTCTTTTCGTTGTGTTACTCCGTACAGCTGTGTCGTGACTCACGGACAGTGAAGTGAAGTGGGCTGACAGGAAGGCGGGGCATATGGGAAACGCGACGCGGGAATTC